GTCTCGCAAAACTCCACCTAAAAACTTTTTTTCTTATTATCGATGCCGCGGAAGGACACTTTTTCTCGATATACTTCTGAGTCTGGAGGCCCTGGCCCTGGAGGGTGTCCCACGGACATGGCTCCTTATCTTTAGGTTTGGAGCTCTTACCAAGACCTTGGGGGGCCTCATTAAAAACATTTGCTCGAATTTAAGCTAGGAAGGCTCAGGGGCGTAGCTAGGCAATTTTTCTGGGAGAGGGGGGGGCATGGGACCACCTCTCGTGGTGAAGAGAGCGGGGGGTGGGTGAGGAATGGAGGATCCCGTTTTTCTGGGGGGGCCAGGCCCCCCCCCAGGACCCCCCTAGCTACGCCTATGGGAAGGCTCCTAAATCCTCTCTTCTGTGCTTTCCGTGTCGATTAATTTTGGAATTTTTTTTCGGGAGGGGGGGGGGCTGCTGATGCTGAATGCTTATGCGTGAGGTTTGGGCCCCGCCTTTGAATCCCGTGAGGACCCCTGAACAATTTTCTGTATATTCTCTGGGTCTGTAAGCCCCTTTGGTATCGCTTGGGGGTCCCATGAACACTTTTTACCTCAGTCTTGAGGTAAATAGGCATCCTCCGGGACCTCCTAGGGCTCGCTGGAAACTTTTTTCCCCACTCTTGAAGTTTGGAAGCCCCCTCCCTTCCCTTACGTCTGGGGCCCCCTGTGCACCGCCATATTCTCAATTTCCCCAGTTCTTTCTTGAGGCTTCGTCCACATGCCGTAACCTTTTTTTTAAACTTAACTGACGGTTATAGCGAAGGTTTCCTTCTCTTAATATCCGAAATTGGATGCTTCTTTCATGACTTAGGAACCTCTCCCCCTTGTACTACTTTCCATAGGTTTTCTAATGTAACACACGATTTTTTTTTTCTCGCCCTTTTCTTTCATTTCCGGTTTCGAGTTTTGGAGGGCTCGTACTGAAGTCCTGTCGCTGTCGGGACCCCCAGAGCTGTAGTGACCCGTCAGAATTTCTGGGATGCTCAAGCGTCTTGCCAGTGGCAAGACCACTCCTTGGTCAGGGTGATCGAGGTGGTGGATCATACTTTGATCAAAATATATCATCAAGCCTCCATAACACCGTCGCGAGGGTAAATTGTCACCCACCCAAACAGCAAATTTCTTGCCCCCCCCCCCCCTCCATACATGTTTTCCGAAATTAGCAGAGATAGGTTGAAAAAAGCTATGGAAAAGTATCATTATCGGAAAATAACACTTCTTGAAAGTGGGAGGCTTACGTAAGACTGGGGTTGGCCCCCCTTCCTCTCCCCACGTAGGATCCTCAAGGCAAGCTCAGACACCCCCCCCGCCTCCCCCAAGATCTGGTTTCAGGGGGCATAGAATCCCTGCAGTCTGATTGNCAATTTTGGTCTCTGTCTCTCAACTCGAATGATAGAGCCCTCTTTGCTCTTGAACTCATCATGCGTCACAACAAACTGAGGATGGAAGTGGATCATGCATACTACAGAACTTTTGGTAGGCGTAAAGCTATCCCTACTGAGAGCACTCAACCATTTTGCATGACGCTCTGGCTCTTTGGCAGGATCAGGGAATTTAAAGGTTGAGACATCAGGACCAGAGGAGCTTGCATAATTAGATTTGCAGCCAGGCACACAGCAGCATCTACCCATTGCTCTAAATTGCACAAATGTCTAGTTCAGCAAAAGCAGCAGCAAAATAGAAATATCACAGAAGCTAACGCTTACTTAAGTACCATATAAAATCCAAGGCATTATAAAAAAGAAAATCCATGCCATGAAATTAGGTAATAACGGATCAAAACTAGCACACACCTTAAAATCAATAAGATTAAGATTCTTACAATTCCAAGGAACGATCCAGTTCGCACGCTGAAGTGTAGAAGGCATCATCGTAGATAATGTGAAGTAAAATAAGGCTGTTTCATTGCACTCAAAGTGCAGTTGAGTGCGCTCAGGGTGCAGTGAAACTAAGAGGTCTGAAAGACTCAAACTTAATTTTACTTCATATTTGATTATTAGGAGATCAAAGGCAAGCATTGATGGTCCCTCTGTTACGACAAAATAAGCCATCTTACCACAGCTGCAACTTCACAAGACACACACTGCAGTTCGCCCCTTGGTTTTGCACGAAATTATTTGAGAAACTACTTAGGAAGCTTTAATGATCCACACAAAAATTAATACATTAGGTCGCGGGAGGAAACACGAAGCTTTTCCTGAAAAAAACACTCAGTCAAACACATGCAGAAGAACCGTCCGATCACTACTTAGGGAATACGAGGAGAAATTGAACCGATAAAACTCATTAAAACGTTGAAAATCTCACCAAGAGTGAGGCTTATGGCACAGAATTGATTTCTGCCAGGAAAAAACTGATTAAACTCGAATTCAACAAGAAAACTCGCGATTTCGCACTCTTAACCCGTTAGCACTAACGTAAACACATTGCGGAAACCGATTTACTAACGACATAACCTCAATCTGGGCGTGACCAGGTATGGTCGAGAAGGTATTGGCTCGCCGGTGGCTGGTGTTGACCAGAGACAAGTTGACGCGACGCGACGGTGACATGCCGGAAACTATGCGTAACATAGTTAACATGTCAGGCAACAGATGGCGACACGATCGCGCTCCTGGCATCTTGGAATTTTTTGATGACTTGATGACGTAGATGGGTACAGCGTGAAGGGGATGTCGCTGTACCCACCTACGTCATCAAGTCATCAAAAAATTCCAAGATGCCCGAAATGCAAACACCTCCTTTCTTTTCTCTATGATAACAGCTGGAGCACCCTTCCCCCCCCCCCCNCATCCGATCCCTGAGCCCCCGGAAGGACAGGATCCAAAACCGCACGATGACGCGGCCAAATTGTAAATAATTACATTCGCATTTCCGTACTTTCCTCACTGAATATTTCTCCTCTAATTGGGTAACGCTGAACGGTGCCAAATCCAAACGGGGTGCTGATTTCATCGCTTAGAGGACATAGGGGCGGAACTACACTTTCATCATCCCGGGATCATCTGATGCCGTAAAGCATTGAATTGTATGTAAGACAGGGTTTGTTACAGAGTGTAGTTACGCCCTTATGTCAGCTAGGTGACGATTTGGATCGCGTTAAATAGAAAGGAACCAAGCCACATCAGCTATTGCCAAAAATAGGGCAATTTTATTTTGTACATGAAAACGGTTGTACGGATTTTTGTGCGAATTATCTGGATAGTGAGAAGCAAATTCCTCAAAATGTTCAAAGGAATCCGTACAAACGTTCTCTCGTAAAAAATTAAATTGCCCAGTTAAATTTGGCAATAGCTGATGTGGCTTGGTTCCTTTCTGTTAAACGCGGTCCATTTGTCGTTTCCCTGAGGAAAGAACGTATCCACATTCCAAAGTTGCCAAATCCCTCCATGAAAATTATATTTTCACAGGCAGAATTTTTGGTAATGCAACTGGAAAATTTCACTGATCTTTCCTCTGATCTCATGCAAAAATAAAAAATAAAAAAAAATTGCGGACAAACATTGCACAGGGTTATTCTTGTGAAAAATTGAAATGTTTGCGAAAATTTTGCGACCTTGGAATGGAGTTACGTTCCCTCGTCAGGGAGAGGACGAATTATGGCCCCGGTCATGATGACAGTAAAATTGCCTTGTTCGCATCACGAGGGTTTCGTGTATCACTAATGGCTGATGCATGAGAGCGAGTAATCAGTGAACCAATGAATAAAGTTTTCATTGAGAACCCGAAAGCATGCTGCCTTGTCAGGGAAGAGTACATCAACTTTATGTAGGGAAGATTAGGCTATTACCTACTCGCTTTACTATTAACTGGACTACATTTTGCAATTCGGAACTGTGATTTCTGGCTCAGATTAGATACTGCGTATGTATCATTCGTTTCCAATTATTCCTCTAATTGTTTAGAGAAACGAATTCATTCCATAATCAGTTGCGTAGCCTCGTTAATGTTACCTTTTTTTTACTGTTGGAGGCATACATATAATATTATCAGGGCGTACAAAAAATAATGAAAATTTACCGTCACGTTTTTTAATGTCTCATTGAAAAAATATCAGGACAGAAAGTTTTTGGGGCTCCAACAGAGATGCGGATTTTGGCAGCAGTTTCTGAATAATTTGCTCAGTAATCAGTTTTTTTCCTCGTTTTGGTACCTAGCATTTGTGGGCGCTCATCAACAGTTATAAGAACTTTTTGAGACTTGGCTGAAGATGATATCAACCCCATTTATATACCAACACAATACAATTTTGAACACATTCTTCAAAGGAAGAGTTGCCACACAGAGGATCTAATAAAATCGGGTACTTCTGTAGTTTCTTTTTTTCTTTCTTTTTTTAACCAAAATAATTTTCTCTTCAATCAGTCCAAGGAATGATATGATACACATCTTAATTTTTATCTATCAAGAAAGAAGTCAAAAAGCTTGAAAAATCAAACAGCAAGAGAAAATTACATCTAGTCAATCGAATTACAAAAATCTGACAGGTAACAGAGGACACGATTCTACTCATTTTGAAAATTACAGGTCTGCAGTGGCTCACTCTGCATCTGAGGTATTCTATATTTTTTTATCTGAATTTTGAGGAGACTATATGCAACTAGATTTTGACAAAAATTTGAAAAAAATTCTGTAGCATGTAAAAGCATCTTCCACCAAAAAAAAAAATCAAGCAGGGATATAAAAAATTGCTCGATAGTTTTAGTAAACTGCTTGTCAAAGTCTTTGGTACTGATTTCATAAATTCAGTGTGGAGGAAAATAATATGAAACAATTATTCAGAGTAAGTGAAAAACAAATTTAATTTATACTTAAAAAAAAAAAAAGAAGTTACGGAACAAAAATGCAACAAGTTCACATGAAAAAAAGGGAACCTGAGGAGGGATATAAAGAGTAAAAAGGATAAGGGGAATTTCAATTCATTGGTTTGCAGAGTGAAGACTGGCTAGATTCTGATTTAAGTTTGGCAGAGGGGGCAGCTGCCTAAAATTAAGTTTGAAATTTGAGAGGAGAAACTGGTAAAATAGAATCAAAGCACGCACAGGCACAACTTGTTACAAATGAAGATTTCAGGAATGTACCGGGAGGAGTTTTTCTTTCACAAAGAAACATAAAACAGATTCTGTTTTCCTGTAGTTTAGGAGATCATTCAGACAGCATGTGGGAGCGAGACAAGCCTAATCAATTTTAGTCATCCTAACAAAGGTTTACAAAGTTTAAATAAAAATAGGAAAAAGACTTAAACTACATTTGCATTGTGACAGTGTTGAGTTCAGATTACTGAAATCTTTAAAATGATTTGACTTGAGACAGCTGTCTCAAAATGAGGGAGATACCTGCAAGTCCTCATTTTACAGGGTTTACATAGAGGTTAAAACTTAAAAATAATTTCAGCTCCTCTTCCTTCCATTAGTCTGTAACAAGAGAAAAAAAATTAAATCTATTAGTATTTAATTCACAGATAAAAAATTTTAGATCCTGTTTTGAACCAAAAAAATGCTTAAATGTTCTCGAGTTTCTTTAACTTTCAAAAGGACGGATAGCAAATGAAAGTTTTGAAACCGGATCATTTTATGTATGAGACACTACTGGACAGTTCGACCAAAATTCAGCCTAAACTGTGTGCTCGTCTCAAGCTTTACTTGGGGACTTTCACATGAAAAGATTCTCGAGAGTTTAAAAGGGTCTCTTGCTTTTCAATTCAAAAGTTATTTCTTTCATTCTAAGACTTCCAGGATTTATGGAATTAAACTGTTACATCAAAGTTGGATTACATTTTGCAAATAGGGAACCACTATTTCTGGCCCATTTTAGAAACAACATAACATGCCATTGTTTCCCTATGCAGATATGTGCTTTCATGGGAGGGCCGAAGATAGTGGTTCCCTATTGCAAAATGTAATCCAGTTAACTTACATTAAAAAATTGTCTCGATCGCATTTCAGATGATACACAGACATTTTGACACCTAGACCATGAACAATTAAAACGTACGGACGATAGAAACTGTAGGGCTTAGCCTGATGTAATCATTTACCTCAAGAGTCCAAAAACAATATCATAAACAACCGAGACCCCCAAAGTCATGTCTTCAAGAGGTCATCGTTAGGAAAATTAATTTATGGAGCTCCATATCACCACTTCAAAAGTACAAAACTTTAAGAGGAGGCTCCAATGACTCCAATTGCAAAATGGCATTTGTAGCACAGCTATGAATGGGAAATCACATCTATGCGCTCTTCTCGCAAAATTTTGATTACTGTAGGGTCCAACAATAAGTCTACAATTGAATTTGAGATGGAAACTATGATGAACTTAAATTTTTGAATAGAACTAATCATGAGAACTACCACCTCATAAGTAGAAAAATCACCACCAATGGACAGCAACTTGAGGTGTAAAACTTCGTACAGACTGCTTTGAAAACACAAAAATTCATCGAGAGGCCGTGGAAGTTTTAACTGACTTACTAGATATATAGCACACCATGGTGCTTAGCTTAAAATGTTTCAGTTAAAATGTCAGTACATGGAGTCGTCAGATGCAACTTATAGTAGTCTAGCTGCTGCATGACATCCCCTCTCTCCTGCACAAGGATCCAATATAAGATTTCTTGTTCAGAATAGTCTCTAAGATGCCTTTTTATGAGATGATCAAGTCTCTAGTTAACAGACTGTTTTTCTTTCATTTACAACCATGTAATTTATTCCAAAATGTTCATTGCTTTCTTCTAAATAAAAAAATGCTTCAAATTTACTCAAATTTTACGTAACCTTTTAAGGTTAGAAGCTTAAAATAATACCCCAAGCTTGTCATTGACTCTGCCTATCAGCTGCCACTTTCTACAGCAAGACTATAATGCGGTGGATATATTTTAAAGTTAATGTTCAATTTCTTAACGAAGAGTTCATGTTATTATTTTGACAGACTAAAGCATTGAAGAGGAAAAAATTATGACAACAAGAGCCTAAAAAGGGAAAAAACTCACTGACTGAAGACAACTCAAAATGTAGAACTACCTACTACCGCTTCAAAAACACAACAGTTGATGAAGAGGCTCCGATAGTTCAAATTTATTTACGAGATATGTAGCACAGCTTTGAAAAAGAACCAAATCTGTACGCTCATCTCGAGAAATTGTGAGTTTGTTAGTATCTAGATAGAATTGAACTCAAAGTGGAAATAGTTCAGGGTCAGGTTTAAATACACAACTGAAAAGTTGGTGATGGTTACTTTTACAAACTTAAGCCCCTGCGACCGACCATGAGAAAATATACGGCTTCATAAGCAAAGAAACCCTCATAAATTAGAAGAGACTCTGAGTGTAGAACTACCTACTACCGCTTCAAAAACATAACAATTAATCAAGAGGCTCCGGTAGTTCAAATTTATTTACGAAATATGTAGCACAGCTTTGATACAAGAACCAAATCTGTACGCTCATCTCGAGAAATTTTGAGTCCCTATGTATCTAGATAGAATTGAAATCAAAGTGGAAATAATTCAAGTTCAGGTTTGAATACGCAACTGAAAAGTTAGTGATGGTTAGTTTTACAAACTTAAGCCCCTATGATTGACCATAAGAAAAATTAATGCTTCATAAGCGAAGAAACCCTCATTAATTAAAAGATACTCTGAGTGTAGAAATACCTACTACCGCTTCAAAAACACAAAAATTTATCAAGAGGCTCCGGTAGTTCAGATTAATATTCGAGCTATGTAGCACAGGTATGGATAAAAGAAACACATCTGTACGCTCATCTCGGGAAATAGCAAGTTTATCATTGATTGCAACAAGTCCTAATTGCATTCTCAACTTAAAGAGATTAACATTGAGAGCCCAATAGGGTGCAAAGAGCCCAGTTTACTTGGTTAAATAAAACTAACTTAACACTTCACACATCTGTTTGCTAGGATGCTTTGGCTTTCAAGTCTGGCCTGTTTTCATTCCAAAAGCTACAGCCTATGAATATTTCTATGTCTCTGATAGTGCAGATTTAAGTGCATGAATGATAGGATGTCAGTTCTCCATGTGCCAACAATGATTACACTGAGTCAAGGTGGAAATGCTAGAGAACTTGGGTTGTTTTGTGAGGTTGACTGACCAAGCAGCTACCAAAAACTGTTTAGTTAATAAAACCTCAAAAAGGTACGACCGAAAGGCCATGAGGTTTAGAACTACAGGCTGATTGATGTGAGAACTTCTCAACTCACCATAACTAAGACTGGCCAAAAAAAATTATGGAAAAATAATCCTTCAGAGACAGTCCCACTGAAATGGACTGAGCTAATTCTTTTGATGCATAAACAACTTGCTTCAGGTTAAGGTAAAGTAAGAATCTATAGATCGTAAAGATCCTTTCATTGAAAAGTGATATATTGAAATCTAATATATTGATCAATCTTTAACATCACTATGGAGAAACAAAAAAGAGAGAAACGTATACATTGAAAACTCCTGTATTAAACGAATTCTTGCTGTATCAATTATTTACAGATAGATTATAAATTACTTAATTTTCAAGAATTCCAATTTAAAATAATCGATCATTCACACACCTGATACTTTCGCCTTCTTTGACGATTTTCCTTTCGGATTGGAATTTGAAGCTGCCAGTTTACGTTTTTTTTCTTCAACCTGAGCAAAAAATCAGAGCACAATTACTAGAGAGGCAATTACTAAAGCTTAAATATAATGACTCTCTACTTGCAGTGTGCTTCGCCTATTTTCCAAGAATATCTTACATAATCTGATACAGAGTGTCACCTTTCTGGCATTGTAAGTGGTGAGGGAAAATTTATGACAAATACAGGCAAGGAAAACCTGACACAGCTGCATAAAAGAAAAAAAGAAAAAAAAAACCAGCATAAAGAAACGAAATCAATGGTGATTGAGGATGATTCCGCTCAGTTAAAAAAATTCTTATCGCCAACAATTATCTACTTCTGAAAATCCATGGAAAATACGGAATTATCAGAGAAAAAGAAGCATCTATCACATGGAAATAGGTACATCTAGGAGGTATGTTAAATAGGTGACGATACAAAAAAGTTAGATTTGTAGAGGCAGAAAAAGTTCATAGATGCAAAATACCAATGTACCTAACTTCAAGTTCATATTTATTGTACATATTTTCCATAACTTCCTACTTCGCAAAATAGAAACAAGTATGTATCACAGCTGAAAACTTGTTTTAAGTTCATGGTTATGTTCATGAAAATAAGGATGAAAATTAGGCTTGCCAACAATTTAAAAAAAAAAAATCTCTTGTAATTGAAGACCACTTTCACTTCAGTACCTAACAGCAGAGATACAGAAAATCCCTGGCATTTCTGGTTTTCGGATGGGTCCTCCTGTGTAGGAAACATTTTTTCGCCTAATTTTCTTAGAAGATACATTTCGTCTCATTTATTTATTTATTTTTTTTTCTGAAGTTGGAAACAGCAACAGGAAAACGAAGGACACACTATTATTGCACTGACGCAAGCCAGATCTTCCATTTTTTAAAACGCCAAGTTGCGCACAATGCTGAACACGACTCATCATTCATGAGGTTGCAAGGTTTCTGCAACCCTGAGTCCTAGAATTCGATTATCAACTCTATTTTTTTGCAATCATACAAATCCTTCCCGAACTTTTTCTTAACTATCACAACTTTCACTTAAAAGATTAACCCTCACTCTTGCATACCACTTGAACAGACTTTCATTTACAAGCTCCTCATTGACCGTATTTACTTCTATCAATTTTATTAGTGGCACAAAACACACTTTCCTGAGAAATTAATAGGTAATCATTTGTGTAGAGGCACATCTGCAAGAGGACCCTAAGATGCAAGTTTCAAACTTGGCATCAATGCACTGATACTGAGACTCCTGGATTGCTCAACAACACAGAGGTTGGAGGAATAAGCACCAGAGAAAACTCAACGATAGAGAACAAATGATGAGTTCATCGAGTGACACCAGCGCAGATTTTCAAACTCTATATGTGGAATATTGTTACTATTAGCAATGTATAGTTCTTATCCAATTACTGATGTTCTGATAATGATCCCTTTGTGAAAACATTCATTAGCCTCTAACTACTCATTTTTCACAGTAATATTATTTCATTCGTTCAAAGAACTGCTCAGTACCTCATAAACTATCCTGAGGTCAGGAAAACTGAATTCAGGAAATCCTTCAAACGTAAACCTTACCCAAACCTACCGCATGCATACATCCAGAAAAACTCTGAACTGTCGTGTATTCTACTATTTAGATGATTACCTAATAAAATTAATAAGAATAACTTTTTCTTTTCGTCATTTTTACTTCGCCAATAACCTTGAAAGATGCTGGTAAAGAGCTGCAAAAATGTAGATTTACATTCCGAAACTTCTCAGGGTCAACCCAAGAAAATTTTGTTCAAGAGCTATGCAAATGATGAATTTTAAGTATAAAGCATTAGTTAAATAACCTAATCTCTTTTCTAAGTATACGTGAGAATAACTCTGAACACGGCAATTAATTCCATTACAATACAAATATTTATTAATGATAGAGGCCAAGGTGTTGAGGAATTTCTCATCGTAAAACCAATGTACTCTTAACAGGAGACCATTTTGAATTTCAGCAAAAATACAGCCATATTCACGTGGCTAATGTTAGTAGATGATTGTATGTCTGTCCTAAACAAAACCTTTGAAAACATGATGCACACTAAGAGAGGGATTAAAAGAACTGGTAAAAAACAAATAAAAATTTAAGTTGCTTACGTTATTTTTGTCTGACATTTCTTCGATCTCATCCATATCTTCCTCATCAAATTCTAAGTCATCTTCATCAACTTCGTCATCATCTTCCAATGTTTCTCCACCTGAGAAAAATATATACATAGGTGAAAACACAAAGAATCTCAACTAATATAATGTGTGTGATGGGACTCAAAAAGGACACTTAGAACCCAGTTTAAAGTTTATTTTAAATGAACGGACTCGATGAAATAGTTAAAAATACCCGATCTTTCGTCATCCGGCATAAATATATTGACAATGTGTTAGCTCAGGAAAAGTTCACAACACAGCATTTTCAGGCGCAAATTACCATAAACATCATTGCTAATATTGTCAAAAATTGCCACAATGATAATAGAAGTACACCTTTAACTGGGTATGACAACTTTAAAGGGCTGTTTTAAGATATAAATAGAATCCTCGCAACCGCTAGGGAGAGCATACTCACAACCACCCTTAGGGCCTTCTCTGCTCCCAGCATTTCTTCACCTCAAGAAGGATGATGGAGAAATAAACCGCTCTGTTCCAAAGTGGGTCAGTAATAAGTAAATGCAGCGAGACACTTTTTCACGATAAGGAATTGCTGTCTGCTTTAGCAGCATTTGGAATCCACCAGGACGTACAACGTTCGACATTGAATTGTTAATCAGTCACATACTTGGACTCCTCACAGAATTTCTTTGGCTAGCTGAGGTCAAATTTCAGCGGTGGGAATTAATTTTAAAAGGTGGATGCTTGACTCAAATTGGATCTCTTGGTTCAAAACGGCCAAACTCGGGTTCTTTATGAGTTGACTTTAAGGAACATTCCTTCTCTGGCTGAATTGCGCAGTTTTCATTGTGTCCTAAAAATTGAGATGGATCGTTTCTGAGCTGAGAGATCCAATTACCCAGAAGTCAAACTCAAGTTTGATCTCACTGCGATTCTAATAAGCAGGGGCTGATCGTATTTCAATTTTAACCGGAATTCGAAATTCTGAACTGAAGCAAATGCTACAGTCATAAACTTAGTTCAATTAAATCATTAGTGGCTAGTATATTGGATGCAGTCTCTAATTGGGGATCACTGGCACGGCGTGCTTTGCTATGTATCGATTGATCTGCCATTTAAACCTACAGAAAAGGATCAATGAACGTTCGCAATGAACACCTTAATGATCGATTCTATACCACAGCTTCAAATGGGGAGATATCAAAAATCGATCATTCACGCCTTACCACTGTTGGGGATTTGCATCATTTCTACTGTGCTAATAATAGTAAGGCTGACAGCAGTCAGTATGAAAAAATGAATTTTGGTGACTTTCTGTACATTCTTTTCCCTCCTTTCACATTTTACATCACACTGATAAACTGAAGTAATTTTACTTAAATTTCAAGTGTAAGGATGCAATCAGACAACTGTAAGGAAGAAGTGTTGTCTATTGTTGCTATAAAAAAATAACTAATTCTTCCTTCCTGAATGTAGAACCTCTGAGGCTGCTTTTGTACATGGCATCCCTGATGGAAGTAAAATTAAAAATTTAGTCCAGTGGCTGTGGTATCATATCAAGGATCTCGTTTTTGTGTCCATCCAACCTCTATACAAAGAAAATGATTTTAACTGTTCTATCCAGAGGGGTTGAACTCTTTCAACGAGTATACTTATTCCATTATGAAAGCCAACCCCAATTCAAGGGAAATTTAGGAAGAGTTCAGCACAAGTGGATACACTTATTAAAAAGTTCAACACTTACAGATGCTACAGACGACTGTTCATTCTTTATGTTAAAAACTAAAAAGGACACAAAATTAAATTGTCAATTTGTTACCAATGATGTAAGCATTTGATCATTAAGTAAGGCTGATTTTTGAAGCATAGCAAGTCTAGAATAAGCTTCCTTATTGCATTTCTGTCTCGAATACTGCACAAGATACAGACTAGCAGCGAATGAGTGCAATGATAACTTTATTGAAGAGTCTTCTCTTTAGTTTCCAAGTTCAACTCTCAAGTATGAGTCATGTTTTTCTGTATGATTGTGATGCCCATCAATGTCTGAGCCACCTTTCCCAACAAAAAGCAGCCTTTTCTGAGCTTGGGGAAAGCTGATAGACTTTTAGGTGGCTATCAGTGATAAATTTAAAGAACCCCGCACAGAGCATGGGGTCAGCGGCTCTCTATGAAAGTCGATGAAACTTTAATAGAATGATAAAAAGTTCATAATTAAGGGAAAGCCAAAAAGTTAGCCCCATTTTTGCGAGTAGAAGCCGAGATATTAGCAATTGAATCCGGACTATTTTCTATCATGCCGCAGCATGGCGGAATAATTCCGAGACCCCTCTCCTCTCGTTGTTCGGCGTTCTCGATCAGACCTCACGTCACTCATCTGAAGATAGGTGCTTATGCGCTCTGCCGCCGGTGCGAATGCCTTACTCCCTCCCTCTCCCCATCATACGCATCTGTCAATTCTGTCTCAGCAACTACATATCAGATTAAACCGGCCGGCGGCGCCGGCACAGGAGAGGTGCGAGAAGCAGGGAACTCCATATCGCACAGCCTGAAACGGAGCGTCCTAATGAAAGGAGTGAGTATAAACAATGCGACATCGCAATTACTTGGTGGGGAGAGGGGGTTTCCTGGCCGAAGTGCCCAAGCAAGGTAAGGCAACACGGAGAATTTACCTCCGCCGCATAGAAAATAGTCCGGGTTCAATCGCGAATATCTCTGCTTATACTCGCAAAAGTGAGCTAATTTTTTGGCTTTCCCTTAATTATGAACTGTACATCAATCTATTAAAGTTTCATCGACTTTCATAGAGAGCCGCTGACCCCATGCTCTGTGCGGGGTTCTTTATTAAAATTATTCCCAGGAAAACACTACTAGGAATGAAATCCTTCATAGTCAGTTCTGGCTGAAGTAAGAAATTTAAAATTTGGAGCAAAGAGGCAAAATGATGATCAGAGTAATGAAAATTCTCATTGTCAGTGCAAACACACTTACACCCAGTTAAGATAATTAAGTGTTACTTACTGCCTATGGAATGATTTCCTATTAAATGGACTGGTCCACTGCCTTTGACGAGTTTGAACGTAACGGGAGGATCTGGGAATAGGACATCTAATACAGATTGTTGTGTGCTGCCTGCTTTCAATACTGCTATTGGAAATTTCACATCTGCTCTGTAACCCATAGCCTCCACCTCCACAACATTGACTTCTCCATCCTTAGCATCTGCTCCTAGAAGTGCCTTAAAAGAAAATAACAAAGCTCAACATTAGAAAGAGAAATATTTGTCTCAACTAGATCTGATGCTGCCATTATACAGAACTCATGTGCTGGAGTTAACCCATTGACTTATGATTTAAATTGACCCTGCCGGGCCAGGAATTACGATTCAATTTGGCGAAAATCAGTAACTTTGAACACTTCAAAATAATCCAGAAAATCTTTCTCTAAGGATGAAAATTGACACAATAAGCATTCACAATACAACATTTAAGAAAAATGGTGAAAACTTTGAATACAATGATTTTTTTGTTGTGGTTTATAGCTGTCAAAGTCACAAAAATCGCAAAATCAGCGAAAATCAGAAAATTTGGAGATTATTTCATGAGCAAACGCACAGTAATATGAAAATAACGTAACAAAACAAAGAAATTACCATACATGATAAGTCATGGGGTGGCAACACTACTCATATAAACATTGATGAGAACGCAATCTACCGGAGGATCGCCGAAATAACGCAAACAACCGACAGACGGCTCTGAGCCGTTGGTTTAAGTCAATGGGTTAATGGTTCCAATTGCTGTAGCTGATAGGCATTGTCAGAGTGACAGCAAATACCTTTAAATGTGCAGAACTACTATAAGATATCTTGGAAAGAGTAAAAGAGGAGGCTCTGATCCCCTCTGAAGCTTTGTAGAATTTTCCTGAACTTTTAGCGAGTGTTTATAATTCAAGTTTCGTTGACTTTCTTGAGGTGTGAGTGCAATGCAAAAAGCATTGAGTGAAAAGAGAATGTTCGCCTTTGTTAGCATGTTAGTGAGAGGTACAAGATGCAAATGAAATGCAGACATTTCTGCCACTATTTTTTTTTTTTTTTTTTTTTTTTTAAATGGGTGTTATCTGGTAGAGCAGTATTACTGCAGTAAACATCAGACACTATCATACATTGACAATGCTTCTGAATTAAAATTCACCGAGACTATTGACGCCATTTTGAACCCATTTGCATCATAGTCTTGACAAATTGGAAACTGTCACCACCTGTTTTCTTTGCTGATGGACGTTTAAGAACATGGGTCATGAAGCTCCCTTGCTGGCTGTTGTGGACATGCCCAGTGCGCTCTACACAGTTGGTAATAAAAATGGATCAGAGTCCATCATAATTGAAGAGAGACACATCATGTGGGTTCGCACAAATATAATTCAACAGTGGGGTAACAGATGCACTACAATTGAACATTTAACATTTGAGGGAAACCTCCGAAAGGTGAACCTTCTTCAGGTTTGTAGGATGTTCTTTGGAGCATAAGTCAGTCGTAACCTCGGCCTCAACATTTTGGTACTTAGCAGAAGCAGCAAGAGCAAGCATTGAAAAGAGCGGGCAATATTTACTTAAAAATCTACATACCATGAAGTTTCTGTTTCAATCTTCCACTAAAATTAAATAGCCTCTCCGTGGGGAAACGGTACTTTATCATGGGAAGCCAACAAAGAAGTCTCCTTACTACTTAGCTTATGTGCAACTTAGTCTTGTGAAGAAAATAAAGATTGAAAAAATGATACTGCTACGTTTAGAGGTTTCGAATAGCAGAGCTGAAAATCAAGAGAAATATTATTTCTCAACTCTGAACGAAGTACTTGAGTTCACAGCAACGTAGGGAGGAGCGCGCTTCTCTTGAGTAACTATGACCGAAGAAATTCATTACAACTCACCTGTTTGACTATGAGAGAATGCTCTCCTCTATAACTCTGAGCTGATTCATTAGCGTCTGGCTTTAGATCTGGATCTGGGTCCCAGGTTTCAGAGGTCTTGTTCTTGTCCAAAGTTAGTCCTGCAAAACAGGAAAATGACTTATTAAATCTAGATTATTTCAGAAGAATATACAAGATAAAATAAGAAAGAAAATATTTCAATTTCAAACAGAAATGGTGAAAACAGAAGCAGAGACAGGCACGGGTGTCAAATGCATGACACCATGACTCAAACGAGAATGAAGAACATTTAAAAAAACTCTTCAGAAAGGTGAAAGTTAGCTTCTCTGCAGGAGCACCTTCTCCAAAATGAATGTGAAGACTAATTTTACTGAAGTAATTAATTCACATTGGTGTTTCAGTGCACAACTGATCAAATACATTGAGAAGCATACACTGGAACCTATAGGTACCCACGAAATTTCATGAGTGGAAAAAATTCATTATACATTCAGGCGCAGAATTTTTGTTGGTCAATTGACAAACACTTAAATTGTCCTGGGCTCAAACAGGGAACTTGGGTGTGAAATACGTTTTAGCAGGAAAAACGTCTGACTACACGAATAGCTCTTTCCTTAAAATGTTTATAAGGGGAAGCAATCATGAATTCTGCTAAGCAATGGAGGAGGGCTTGGAGACTTCAGTACCCCTATTCAATACATGAGACACCACATGGCAGGGAAGGAACACTGCTTGAAGGAGACGCCATCCATAATAGTGTTAAGAGGTTGATACTAGTCTGAACCAGTGCCAGATGAAAACCTTGATACCTTGGTGAGAAGTCAATGCCGCAATTATCACTGTGCGACTTTCACGGTTCGTGAAATTTAGAATGAGAAACATCTAGAATGTTAAAATGTGTACCTCGTCCAGTGGTCGAAATCTTGAGGTTCCTTTCACATTCATTAGAGGTGTCGTCAGATAAGTTGACGATTGTTTACTTCCGGTTAGCAAGCGCAGACAACAAATTTAGGCCTCTGCACAAAGCGGCATTCACTACTATTCACCTTGAAAACACCAGTCTCATGATTGTGGTGTAGAAGAAACACTTGTCAATTATGATTCGCGACGTTTAAGTGGTTGTGATTTCGGTGTGGCTAAAAATGAAAGTGTTACAGGACTGAAAGTATAAGAAAACTTATCTAGGCTTGTGTTCTTGCTTCTGCAAGAGTCCGATATTTTCATGTGGATAGTAGCGACTCGAAAACGCTAACAAACCGAAAGTAAACAATGGTCAACTATCTGACGACACCGCGAGTAGAGATAGATATTTCCAAAGCTAATGAAGAGGTCTATTAAGGATCAGTCAGACACAAGGACAGACCAAGTGTACACAAAGAACTGCGGAGGCACCTGCCTCCCCGAAGGCATGGCGCACTGATGAATGATTTGTCGGTGAATGATTGGTGACACAAGCTTTCAGGTGATAGTCTACTTAATCAGAGAAGCTTTATTCCATTCCCTCAGGAATCGTTGAACGTTGATAGCTGGGATGTTAAAATCACGGCAAGAAAGCACTCTTGTCCAACAAAAGATGTGAGGCATGCATGGTAAGAGGGGCCTTCAGATGAGTGTGGGGGCTTGAAAATTGAGAAGGGCAATTCAAAAAGCACGGTGAAATGGGTTGCACAGATACCCATTACATTGACCGGTATCTACGCCGTCATGCTAGTGATATTCATCGACAACTGCTATGGATAGGCACAAAACTAAAATGCCGGAAAAGTGGCCGATTAGAGCAAAACTACGAAAAATTCAACCAAGAATACAGCAAACTAATTCCTTCGTTGGAGCCTGCAGATGGGTGGAGTAGGAAATTCAGATATGAAAGCACCGGTCTTACCCCAAATATAATCTTCAGACATTCTGATGTCTTGGTTCGAGGAGGATAAATTTAATCGTAAAGCACTAATCTTGAAGCGAATGGCGTCAAGTCTCTCAAACAAAATGGATTGGGTAGGCAAGGCCAAGGGGACGCACACAAGGAAACTGACAAATGAAATGATGGGGAATGGGGTGAGGGTGAGGAAGTCTGGGAACCGCGAACGCGTAGGAAAAGCATGCAACGTAGAATGACGTAGAAGTAGAAGATACTGAAGGTTAGATTAGAATTCCAATTGGTTGATGACAACGCGCCAAAAGTGTATCCATTTTGAATTATAAGAGAAATAACAACCGGAACGGCTTCACCATTTTCACCTACATTTTATACCTATTTAGTCCTAACTTGTAGATTGTTTTTGACTCAGAATTTTATTTAAGGGCTTCAAAGTGTATTCAAACATATTTTTCGACTAAAAATTGAAATCTCTAATAAAGAGAACTGATGTTTTGACTTAAGTGCTTGGTGATGAGATCAATCTTCGGCTCAGTGAATTTCTATCGATCATGAAAGATTTGCAATAAGAAGGTATTCCATTCTTAAGCAATGGTACGTATGAATTTTTTTTTTTTTTTTCTTAGGAAACTTGCCAATCCTCTTGAAATTTTCCTCTTCGTTCAAAAATATTAAGAGAAAAATTTGAATAGATATTTCGTTCCGTTTCCTTTCAAAACATAAATAAGACCAAGATTTCTTGACACTTTAATAGAGACATGCATCTCTCAACTGGCTATCGCAATGTTTCAAATGCAGTTACTTCTGATGGTGATGGTTTAAATTCAACAGAATCATTGCAAATCAATGCTGCTATTTTCACTTACCGATCACAGGAACAAAAATTGACCTCCCTCCTTTCTGGTCTTTTTAAGTGCATGGACGAACAGAAAAAAATGGGCTGAGTATTATTGTGACTTCCTTAAAATGGGTCAATAAGCTTCCAATTGCGCATTATACTCATTATGATCAGCCTTCATTTCTCTGCAATCTGCTGCTTACCTAAGATTTTAATCGTATTATTTGCATCTCTAACACCCAAAACCATAATTCTAATCAATTCTCACAGTGAACAATATTGGAACTTTGTTGGAGAACTTGCCCATGCTTTTCATACGGGCATGTTTTTGTACGCTTCAGAATGAACTAAGCGACTACCAATGCTTCTTACAGCCACAGTCGTTACTAATATGGTTTGATTGTTTCCTGATGTGATTCTCATAATCAACAGCACTGTGTTTGGCGTCAGAAAATACACTAAACAGATTGACATGTTTCTTTTCTTTTCTACACAGAACAAATTATTTATCAAACAATGAAAAAACCAGAAAGATTAAAGACTAAACATTTTTATTAACTTGACGTTGGACGTAAATACACAACACAAGTTTGATGAAAAACAAAACAGGAAAAATAAAAAAGGGAATACAACAAAAGACATTGAAAAAATTTGAAACTCATTGAGTAAAAAATCTGCTTTATATACAGTGTCAAATAGAATATTTACAATGAGGCCACTAAGAGAACAGAGTGAAATAAGTTCTGACTAACTTTTGCAATGAACTTGAATGAAAGCATTATCACGTTCATTGGATACTACTTGCAAAAAATTCCAAAAAATTGATCAATATTTTCTGATCTTGTAATGCTGTATGTGTTCATAATCCCCAAGCCATCTGATCTAGTATCCATGTTCAATTACTATTTTACATCTTTTGGTAATTTTAGGGGGGGGGGGGGGGGGNGGACCTTATTTTTTAATTGTTTTACAGAGTTCTCAATTAAGAACAAGGTCGAATGTTCCACTGATAGGGAGCAGATTCAAATTAGATTACTGCAGACACAAATACAGCTAGATCTGACAGAGTACGTGATATCGATAGCTCCAGTTGGAAACCACAGGATGGAATTGTTTCTACTGAATTAAAACTGTTGATATAGGATCCAAAATTTGCTTGTATTTTTAAACACTTGATAGTCGACAGAAAATTTTGGTTACTCTTAATAATTTTTCCAGACAATGAAATTAAAATAGTAACCCACAAGGAATGCTTCAAATACAGGGAGGAAAGATCATAAACAAGAGAGCCTTAAATAATAAGGAGTGTTTGGCGAGGACTTCTTGAACAGGAGAGTCACATGAAATTAATCTAAAGGCTTCAAAAATATGGGGCCCTCTAACAAAAAGGTTCCACATGATCTCAATGCCACAAAAAAAGTTAAAAAAAACCTAGGTGACTGGAGCAAGGATGAAGAGAAATCATGATTTTACTGGGGAAATTTTGATGGAAGGCACAAAAATCTGGAAAAAAAGGGGGGGAGGAGTAATGACCAATTAAAAAGGACATTGTTTCACTGAATGTGACAATTCATACTTACAAAAAGAAGTTTGAACAATTTTGATGAGTTACTCTTTCAAGTAGATTCAAAAGCATTATTTACTTGAATAGCATTTTTTAAAAAATTCGGCTTTTCTGATTTTATCCTAATGATAACATAAAAGGGTTCATTATGTAGTCGTAATTCAAATACATAAATGTAAGTTGCTAAATCAGTGCACTTTGATGCTTTGCAACACCAAATCGAAAATGATCCCTATCCTCCGTGGGATCATTAGGCAAATGACATCTTACACAGTTCGCACTTTCTTAAAAATGCTTCAAAAACTGATCAACACTTTGGTGTATTTTCCGAAAGGAATTACGCCATTTTTTACTGTAGTTTTTTTTCTCCTATGATTTTCAATTTTCAACAAGCCGCTATAAAAAGATTTTTTTAAGTATAAATTTAGCTGTAGACTTTGACAAAGTACATACATTTGTACAGTAAGTACTGGCTCTATGATGATTGTATCTTAATGGTGCCAAGTCTTAATGCTAATGATCAAATTGAAATCATTAAAGTTTATGTAAGGAGTCCATAAAGAGTAGAAAGCAAATACATCAGCATGAATGTATGAGTAATAATTCATGCAACAATTCTCATTCATGAATATGCACGTTTTCTTTGACCCAGGTTAAGAGGAAACTTGAAACTTAGGTAAGACTGATTTACATGGATGCTTTCCTCGATACAACTTCAGCTTCAGGAGATTACACTTGAAGCAAAACACCCAAAGAACAAAAATGGATTTCTGAGACAAAACAGTGATAAATCTATGATGCATTCAAATGATCACAGATAATGGGCTCCTTGATTTCTTTGTCCTTGGGCAGAATTATGCCTTAGTTGTTGGTAAGGACTGTTCTTCCTTTTTCTCGAATTTCTGACAGCATCTGAAATAAAATAGAAAAAACACACATGAATATTCTGAAAATAAGGAAATAAAACTGGAAAAAAAAAAAAAAACAGCAAAATAAATTATATATGGTACTCTTTCTGAAGTCATTTAATTCAGTCAATTCGATGAATTCCACCAAGATATCTAGAATTTTTTTTTATTCCCTGGTATTACCATGATTTTCCCTGATTCGAAAAAAAAAAAAAAATTCAGGAAGATTTGGAGTTCCCGCTCATTTTCCAACAAATTCTCTTATACGGTAGATTTTTTTTAGAGCCCAAAAAAATATATAAATTTAGATCATTGTCGTCTAAATCTTTGAGACCAAGTCAATGCTGCCGACCAAATTTAACAACAATAAGATTTCGGAGCATGAAAAAAAGAAATTCCTGATTTTTAAAACCTATAGACCACTAGACAAGGTACGATGCAAAGCATTCTGATACATGTTTCTTGACCAAAATTTCACGTAGAACCCAAGTCGCTGAACGAAAATTACTGAGGTTAAATCCCAACCAAGGCTTCTCTATGGCCAAATTGGTGATAGTCAGCTAATAGGTCAAAATCTGAGACTCAACATAGACAGATTTTGAAGATCCCTGCCTCTTTTGAATTCAGTATTTTGAATTGAGGCCTACGCTAGAATAACCACCTATACGCAAGTAGGTGGTTATTCTGCCTCCCTGCCTATTCAAATTATTGTATCCTTGGGTATCGCTGGTAGTGATGGCGAGTCAATCCCTTGTGTACTCGACAAAAAATCCAATTTTAGAGCAGTGAGGTCAGACCCAGTGGTTAATGCATGGAATAACCACCCATACAAGTACCAGTGTTCTTCTGCTCATAAACATCACTTCAGGTTATATGACAGTTACAAAGCATTAATTTGTGTTTTCAATCAATTAAATAGCCATTTCATCTTGAAACTTGGTGTAAGGTGTAGGTGGAAACCTATAAACGCGTACTCGTACCCATAAGTGTATCAGTGATTTTCTGCCCATCAACACAATCGTGTGCTTCATCAACGCCACAGAACCATTGTTTTGGGTTGAATGACATTTTATGACTGTCGCAAAGCAACAATTATATTACATAAACAATTGATCAGACATTTTACATTGAGACTAGGTAGTAGGTGGAATAACCACCTACAACAACATGTTTAAAATCAACGTCCTTGATGTGAATTCTGCAATAATTTTCAAAAATGCACTATGTTCAAAGGGTACAACCAATTTTAAAAAAATGCTTTTGCAGTTTTCCTACAGCGCAAAATCAGAGATGCATCTAATAATCAAAACTTCAAATACGATTTTCTCACAATTATGTCTCCTGCAATAGGTGGTTATTCCAGCTAAGGCCTCAATTGGTTTATGGAAAAAACAGTTTTGACTGAAATCTTTCATCATCCTCAGAGATTTTCTTTTAAATTCTAAAAAAATCTGTTATCATAATCAGAACAACTCTCAGAAACAGAGAGCTTAGAGGATGCTTTACATCCAGAACTGGTCTCAAGCTGAGCAAAAAACTCTTAATTAATTTGAAGTATCAAAATATTTTGTGGTTGCATTAGGGAATGAAAAGTGTGAATACAAAAAAAAATGACAACACCTTACCCTTGTGAAGGAAATGGAAATATTTACAAGACTCATTTACCTTGTCGATGTTGCGCCAGTTCGTAAAGAGCAGGATTCACTTCTTGGTTGGCTTCCTTTAAAACATTGATGAGTTGCCTTGCCCTAGGAGCATCCATTTCTGTGAAGTAGGTGATAGATGTACCTTTCTGACCGGAGCGTCCAGTTCTACCTATTCGATGGATGTAATCTTCTACATCATTTGGAAAATCTAAATTGATGACATACCCGACGTCGCTTATATCTGGGAAAGAGAGACAAGTTGATAATCAATGATGAAAAAAAAACATCAAAACTAAAAAGGAGGAAATTTGAAATTCATTTCATCATTAATTTAACATTTAATAATTTTACCGCAACACCCACTGAAGAGAAAGTTATATGAAAATGCTATATTAAAGAATAATCTTGTATTCTAGTCTTTAATAAACTGATATTTTTCTACTACAAAATAAAAAATTAATCAGCAATACCAATAAAAGAGGGCCGATTTTTTTATAAACCGTTGTTCAACTGATTGCATATCTCATTAAATCTATGATGTTATTTAGGTATATTTTTCAGGGTAGGGGTCATTAAAAACGATGACGATTACATCATCGATAAATAACACCTTGAGGGAGGAAATGGGGGATTTGTGGTTGGCCTCAGGCAATTATGTTCTACCGTATACGCCCGCAGATAACCCGCACCCAAATTTTGAGAGGGTCAAATTCCTTGTAACCCACACGCGCCTACAGTGGTCTATTTCACTCGCATCGTCAAGTAGCACTTGATGGGTATGCAATTTCCGTGAGTTTCATAGATAACCTGCACCCTGATTTTCAAGCGTAGAAGTCAGGAAAAAAAATGCGGGTTATCTGCGGGCGCATAAGGTAATTGCCAACATTGAGAGCACTATCAAGATTAAATTACATACAAACTTGATGCTTCCAGCGGGAGCCTCCCTATTAGTCACTAAATTGATTAAGTCACAAATAACACCCCTATAATTATTAAAAAAGTGTTAGGGGGAGCTTCAAATAATTCCCCAGTCTAATCAGCCCTAAAGCTACTTATAAAAAGGACTACATTTTGCACTGTGGCATTTCTATTCCTGGCTCATCTAAAAAAGCACCCATCTGCATTAAGAAACTAATGCAACAAATGTTGTTGCTAAAATGAGTTAGAGATATTAGTTATTTATTGCAAAAAAAATTTCAACTCTAATACTGCTTAATAGAGGTCCAAATAAGATATGCAGACTTTGGCTTGAGAGACGGCAGCAAGAGCTTAAGATGAAGAAGACTTGTACGTAAAATTTTAAAAGGCACATTGAAGGGGGCATCCAGTAAGAAATGGGGGGCAAGTAACAATACAAGAAGAGGCCACAAAACCTTCCTAGCCATTACTTCCTGTCAATAACTCGGAATTGAATCAAGAATTTTCTCTTTGCTATGCCCTGACCTGCCAGAATGCACAAACAAGTGTACCATATCAAAATCACTGTTGGATTTCTGTGAATTGTCACGTAGGCCATAACTGTTGTGAAATAAGATCATTGAGAACAAAGTCTATCCGACAATAGGATAACAAATGTGATGATAAACAAGCTAATATTGGCTTAAAACTAATAACACTGCCAGTAGTGTAGTGGGAATTAAAAACCTCACCTAGCCCTCGAGCTGCAATGTCCGTGGCTACTAAAATTTGTGAGCGACCAGCGCGAAACCCTGAAAAAAAGAAAGTCAATTACAGCCCAAAACATATTTAGAGATGAACGAAAAACTGGTGACATCACAACTCTTACCTTAGAGTGTCACTCAGGTATATGTTCAAACCTATGAAGCTTATAAAAAAGTTTTGTACCTGTTCATTAAAAAATGTGTAGATTATCAAATGATTGATTGATTGAAATGACAAAACCAGGAAAATACTTACTCCTAAGAGCGACATCTCTTTGAACTTGAGATCTATCTCCGTGGATTTCATCTACCAATAACCTGAAATCATTAAAAAAAAAAAAAAAAAATGAGCAAACATGAGCACATTTCATGCATAAGGCTGCTATTTTTTCAGTTACATGTAACATATTTAAGTACCCTGGCAGCAAGCAAGCAGTAATACATACCAATATAAAAATAATAGTGTATTAAAAAATACACTAAAAACACCAGAAGCAACCAAACATTATAATAAAAATGAAAGAATTACGATAATAGACAGAAATACTTAGGAACTAGAGCTGTGTTAATCAAACTATAGTCATAATCATGATTAATTCTTTTAAATGAAGTAATCATAGATTTGAAAATTAGTCGAAATATTCTTGACTTATCACAAAATTTTGTAATTGAATTTCCTTCCAATGAACATTCCTTTCCTTCCTGAATTTCCTTCAATTCTGCAACATTTTCACAGCGCCACATTGCTTGCCTTGAACAGTAGAAAATTGCATAACATCTTGACAAGCCTGTGAAATCAGTCCTACCATAAGAGTGATGGGTTTTAATGTTCATGATGAAAATTTTCCCCTACTTTTGATGGCGGAGGTTTGCAGTGGATTAAATAAAAAATGATGAGTTGTTAGCAGGCAGACGGACATACCTTCAAACAAGAGTTTGGCAGATGACTCAAGCTCTGATTTTCTTGCAAGCCCTGTATCCTAACGTTTGTGCTCTTGAATAGTGCTGAGCAATTTATCAAATTTTAATCATAGTCTTCAAAAAATATCGTCCACCCACTCCCCGTGCCATATATTTCTCTCTCCTGCTCTTCTTTTCCTGCTCTCCTTCTTTCAACGCTGACACAACAACACTTCGTTGCGCAGAGCGCCAGCTGGTGAAGAGAGGCCACCCTGCATCTTCATTCAAACTTTCTGGAACTTTCTAGTATTGACGCAACAGTAAAAAAAAACTCTTTCTACAGTCACTCCAGAACTTTCTTGGCTTTCAGAGAGTGTCACAAGGTGATGAGGGTAGTGTTTCTGGAACTCTTTGAAACTCTTTCAAATTTTCTCCGAATGATGCGCATTTAAAAGGAAGCTCTCCCTTCATTTTCTCTGAAACTTTCTGTCTTTATCCCGGACTTTTGAAACGTTTCACTAGCTAAGGAGTGGAATTTTCTTAAATTGTGAGTAAAAAGAATATGGCTCACTTCAAGAGTCACACTCATTTGCGCCAGGAGTGATGCAACCAAAGGGACGGAGAACTAGCTGTGGGGGCTTGGAGATGATTTCCGGCATTTATTGATGGTATGATAAAAATATTAAAGAAGCGCTCCAGTATACATGAGCTAGTATGATGACACAGCTTACCCTTCATATCGTAAAATCTCGGTAACTGACTTGACTCTCTTCTTGGTTTCTGCAAAGATAATGACCTTTGTATTTTGGTCTTTGCATATTCCTTTCAGTCGCTCTATGATTCTGCAAAAAAGTTATGTTATGTTATTTAAAATTTCATTCCTTACAACTTTTATATGATACCTCAAAATGCTTTTCAAATAGTTATTTTTCCTCAATGTAGTACTTTTTCCCTACAATGATACCAGTGACCTATGACAAAAAGTTCCGGATGACTAAGAAATCATCTGATACCTCTTTTGTATGTTATTCATAGCAAACTCGTTTTAACGAAAATTTCTGTAGGACAAAAAATTGTTCCGCTCTCTGCCAATTTGTGACAAAGAGAGAGTATAGTTTATTCTGAATTTTTTGTAAGAGAAAAAATGTTTGGAAAAAATTATAAGAGGGAGGTAGACTTTCCATTTGTTCTACAAGTTTCTTTTCTTATTTATCAGATTTATTGAGGAAAAATTCATTTCAAGGTTCAAAATAGTTATGGACAATAATTAATCCTTTGAGAACAAAATATGAGGGACTCAAACATACCTGTTTTCTTTATCCTCTTCTTGGCAGACTTCAACTATTTGAGTGATGTCATGATTAGCGCAAAGCTCTCGGGAACCAACATTAAGCTGAACATATTCACCTAGAAAATCTTCAGCAAGATCTTGCACTTCTTTAGGCCACGTGGCAGACCACATTAACACCTGTCGATCCGGCTGTATGATGTTAAAAAGAGAAAAGAATAGAATAATTATTAAAAATTTATTGAGTAGGGCTAGTCTGTCTAAGGTTCAATGCCCTCAGATCTTTGGATAATGGGTACTTTATAGCAACAAACATTATTATGTTGCCAGTTACCACGGATATTTTAAATTTTTCAAGCACCCTTTGATTAACAACAGGCAAGGCACCTTGGTTAGAAAATTTTATGGGGTGTTCCTCAGTGGGGAAAAGTTACTGAGCACCAAAACATCTCAATATTATGCCATTTAGAGGCAACAAAATCACAAGCAACGTACAATTTTTATTGTTTTACAAAACTTGTGAGAAAAAAAAAGAAAAAAATCAACATTGGATAGTAAAAGAGCCGTGTTTTTGTGGCATACATTCCTGGGCTGTCCTATGAAGGGCAAGCGTCTTCTGAGAGCTTCTAAAACTTGCCAAATCCCAAGATATTTCTGACATGATACTCTAGTTCGCAGCTAATTGCAAGGTGAGTGAAATGAAGGGTATCCTCTTTCGCTATTCAAGCACAACAGAACTTACAAAACGCTCAGTTGTATTGATTTTGTTTTAGTCTAGGCGGGAACTTTGTTTCAAAGTTCCCGCCAAGACAGAAACAAAATCGATGCAACTGAGCATTTTATCGATGTTGGGGAGTCTGTGGCAACGGATCATACCTTTTTTCATTTACCTTGGACTGCATGAGCAATCATTCAATCATTAACCTTTGCTTGTCAAATGCATATTCCTATCTTCTAAGTACATTGCACAGAAGTCGGTTTCCTTAGTGTTTACACTTACAGTTTTTATCAACACCACAAATCTGGAGAAGGTTGATTACTTGAGAATAGATCAGTCCAAAACTTACCCTTATTTGTCCCATTATCTGCCTGATCTGAGGTTCAAAACCCATGTCAAGCATCCGATCTGCCTCATCAAGTACTAAGTAGGTTGTTCTCTCAAGATTGGTTCCTTGTTGAGACAAAATATCTAGTAGTCTTCCTGGTGTTGCTATCACCAACTCTACACCACGTCTCAACTCGCCAATCTAACAGAAAAGAACAAAAATGAAAAGAATGTAGTCAACTCCAAATACACTCAACTTAGTATCAATCTATTTCGGAAATCTTAAAAAATAGTCCTGCATTTGTGTCATTGATCCCTGAACTTGTTCTTGGATTTAAAATATTGCGTGAAGAAGAGTTAACATGTAAAAAATATAAAATTCTTAACACTCACTTGCAAAGCTGTCATATTCTGCATCTAAACTAAAAATAGAATAAAAAAAAATGATACTCTTCAGTTCATATAATAGACTTACTTGCAAAGCTTTCATTAGTTCCTAATTTTATTACACATAAGTTTCAGATCAACAAGTGAAAAACTGTTTTTTTTATTACCTGGATAATACTTCTGGAGTATTTCTATGAGAAAAAAAAACCTTTAATACAGCAAAGGCATAAAATAGAAAAAAAAACACTAAGTACCTGCGGAAGTTTGCTAACTCCACCAAATAAACACACTGAGCGCATTCTTGATGATGTTCTAAATTGATGCACAACAGCTTGTATTTGTTGAGCTAGCTCTCGAGTAGGGGCTAGCACCAACGCTATGGGTCCATCACCGGGTTTCAGAGGCTCTTGATTGTGGATATGTACAGCTGCAGGAAGTATATACTGCGGGGGAAAAAGCGTTTGGACCTTAAATTCAATACCAGAGCTAACAAAATTTCATAATTACATAACCAAATATACAAACTCCATAAATAAGAGGCTTTACATAAGAAATTCTGCTGAAGCATTCAAGTATATGAAATTATGAACTCAAAAACTTTCCTCGTTAGGGAATCATGCTGCATCAATGCTGTTCATTTTAAAGGGGGAACTGAAAAATAAAATTTACAAGCGCAAAGCAAAATTTCTCTCTTTTCAACTGAGCTGACTGATAAAATTACCTAAAGAGCTTTAAAAACTGAGCTCATCGCATTTTCTATTTCATTTCGTCAACTCTAGGACAGAGAGGAAAAGTTGAAATTCAAATTAAAACCTAGGATATACTTAGTTTCATTTGAAGTTATCTGCCAAAAGTATTCTTGGGAAGACGCAAAAATAATTCTGGAGGAACGCATTTTCATCAGAACTTCACTCTGACAAAAATAGAGACATTATTTGCAAAAAGGGCCCCTGATGGCAGGGGTCTTTTTCAAGAGAGGGCTTTAATTTCTTTTTCAAATCCCTTTCAAAATACCTTTCATGGAAACTGATAATAAGAAAAGTCTTCGTCAATTGATATTTAATACAAGAAAACAGTTTGCCTTGAATTAACCACCTCGGTAAAAATTGAGACAAAGGAAATACAAACCCCAAGAGTTTTTCCAGAGCCTGTTTGAGCAACTCCCACCATGTTGAGACCACTCATTGCAATTGGCCATCCTTGAGCTTGAATCGGTGTGGGTTTTTCCATTCTAGAGGACCTGATCAGAGGATAAAAATGTAATTAAGTGCCATACTTATTGGCTAACTTAATACAGCTGAACTATTTCAACTTCCCAAAATTTCACATGTGAGGGGCTTTGAAGACAAGGGGGATAAGTGCAGTATTTGAAAAAATTAAGATATTAATCATTTCAGCCGAAATTATTTTTAAAATATATCCTGTAAAAATTCACCACTGAAATCCAATTTTAAAACTTCAAAAAGTGAGTTTGAACTTTCATCCCGCCATAAGACTCCATGTAATTTTGAAACTTCTGACATTTATTTCTTAAAACAGCACAAACCGCACTTATTCTACTTGTCCCCCAAGCCCCTAATATGTATTTCTTCCCTGACATTCAAACAAAACAAGCCACCAGTTTATAAAATTTATCTTGAATAATACCTTAATGCACTTATATGAGGAGGAACCCAAAAAAACTGGAATTTTGCTGCAACTTGGCAACGATGGAAAATGTCCAGGTTCTACCGCTAGAGGGTGTAACTAGATGCTATGAGGAGTCACTAGGCCAAATTTCAACATTGTAGCACGTTCCCTTTTATTTTTGCGAGACTTGATTTAAGGGGTTGTCTAACGAGTTCATCGTTTTGACGATGGGTGATTTTCACGGGCAATGCGCGGATAACTCTGTCAATTTGCTGAGTGAATCTTGCAGGGAACATGTTTCACTCATGATATAAGTGAATAAATGTTTTTCTTCGTTTTAGAATGTGATTCATTGTTTGAACTTCGGCTGGACGCCCAGCGGCAGTCACCAGCTAAAAAGCTAAATGAAGGATCAATGCGGCAACAATGCGTTTCAGGCCCAAATTTTTCACTGCAATGTTTCGAATATTTCTGCATTACATTCAAGTGATATCTGCTAGTTAATTAAATGATCTTTAACCACCCTCATTCACAAAAATGCAATTTTTTTTTATTATTTGCATCGGTTCTTTCCAATGACGATGGCAGTATGGAGCCATACAGGGGTTTCAGGGGTTACAGCACCATTTTTAGCAAAAAACCGTACTTACACTGAAGTTTTTAATGGGGCTTGTCCTGCAGATGCAACACTTCAAAAATTTAACAGAGAATGTTGTGTTTTTATCAAGTAAGAGAGAAAAATTCGAGCGCTAAGTGTTTTTACTGAAATTGACCCATCTTCAAAAACGACTAAGTCCCCAAACACCCCTGGAGCAAAGTCTCCCCAAAATTAAATAAAAAGTGCTCCGATGTTGAAATTTGGTCTAGTTACTCTTCATAGCTCCTAGTTATACCTCCATCGTTTTCCATCGTTGCCATGATACAGTGAAATTCCGGGTTTTTTTGGGTCCCTCCTCGTATGCATATTTTTGCATCTGTTTATCTGTGCTCATCAAGAAATATTCAGCAGAGTTCAATTATTTGCTCTGTTAAAGCCAAAATATCATCTGACGGGTGAGATGAGAGACCACCACAAACTCTACCACATTCTCTTAAAAACTTCTGAATCCGTGACCCAATAATTCCTGTACTTTCCGCAAGACTAGCCTGCCTACCCTACAAAAGATGAAGCTTCATGAATTCTGTATTTATCAAAATTTCTTATTAATAGAAAAAAAAATCAAACATGAATAATATTAAAAAATTACAGAACTATAATTTATTTCATGAATTTTACAAAACTCATTTGTGACAACTCTGCTATCATGATTGTTTTAGAAAATGAAAGGGTGAAGATAATTAGCTGAGAGCCTCTTTTCAATTATATAGCTTAAGAATTTCAACTTACCGAATGACTTCATTCACATAATCTGGAAGATTCGCCTCTTCAAAACTCAGGATTGGAGCAGGTACATCTCCAAAGACAAAAATGCCATTATCGGTTCTGTATTTCTCTATTTCTTCTTGCGAGCTACAACAGATCACAGAGATTAAGAACTGCTAATAACAGCATGCATATCATAATTATGTACTTATATATTCAAGAGAATATTTGCAGTTTCATGTGTCATGAAAAAATCATTGAATACAATGAATGTAATTTCCTTGGAGGGTATAAATTTTATGTTAGATAAATACTAACAGTGTTTCAATGATATTGTTCTTCACAAGATTGATGTTCTATTAAACCAAATATGACTTCTGATGTACAGAAAGTTCTTGTTTCTGGATTATACATGAATTACGATCTTGCAGTCGATTTATGCTCACAAGAAAGCATCAATATTGTCCACCTTGTAGATAGCTAGTTCAAACATTGAGAAGACATGCAGAGGATCTTACAAGTTTTTACTTTTGGTCATAAATTCTCCAAAGTCTCCCAGTCCTTTTGTGAAAAAAAAACAAGAGACACTAAAGACATGATGCTAACGTTCTATAAAAACAGGTGTACAATGACAAGATTATAACTGCATCCTTCTTGGCTACCCCAACCCTGGATCGAACTTTGCCTCAAAATTTGATACAGTTTTTTTCTTCCCATTCTCCTGAGGTTTCTCTCATATCTAATTGGGGCGGGGGGAGCTATAAAATGACAAAAAAATCTCTAGCATTATAAAAATATTAAATATATTGATTATAATGCAATTTCTTATCAGGGTCATATTCTTTGATAACACTATTTCCTCCTCCTTCGATTCTTAGAATAGAAGAAAACTTGCACATACATCGCTTTCAAAGGTAACTGAATTTCTGAGAAAACTGGCTGAACATTTTGAAAAATATGAAGCCCTAGAGAACATCATCTTTCGTTGTTTGCCTTATTAAAAGAAACTATGACCAATGAAAATTGTGAAATATTCCTTTTTTCTTTATTTCTGAAGAGAAATTTACACACAGCAAAATAGGTGCTTGAAAAGATGAAGAGTAGGTATGAAAAACTGTTATCAAAAATAAACTCTGATCAACTGCCCTTTCAATCCTCAAGTTGCAGTTTGATTCTAATGGAGCAATATTAAAATCAGACTTTTCTTACCGTCTCAAGACATTTTCATGAGGTTGATAAAAATCCTTTTTAAATTCTGTCAGCTGACGATTATTCCAACGTGGAACAGTTAAAGGTTGATTGAAATCATTTCGAGCTCCAGCACGAGGTGCTATGATTCTTTGATTATATTCATTTCTTGGAGCTCTAAAATCACTGTATTTCCGAAAGCCTTGACACTGTCCGCACCTAAAATAGATACATATACCCGCATAAATTTTAAAATACATTTTGAGCAACACTTGGGAACACATTGTGAATTGGGATCCTAGCAAAAGTTTGTAGAGAAAAAATTAGGTTAGCAGTAAAAATAAAAAGAGCCAGTTTTGTAGAACATTTCATGTTGCATAACAAGCTATTGTAAATGTGGTGGAAATCAGATAAGTGAATTTCATTGCTCAAAAGGTGTCATTAAAACAGAGGATGAGTGGATTAAACTCTAAAAACTCATGAATATCAGAGGATTTCAGCTGATGAGACGAATTAGATTTTTAGTCGGTCACTTTGTTAAATTTCCAAACTTTGGTAGACTATTTTTATCTTTACTGTGAAAGCATGTTGAATATGTACAACACCTTACATTTGTTGAACCCAACTGAAGAACTGAATGCTAGTCCAATAACTCACTGTTTGTTTTCTACATTATCCCGACACAGAGAGGTCACAAAAAATTTGATTGGTGTTCGGTCAAAAGTTACTTCTTGCCCCCTATTTCGCCATTTTCAGGAATGAACCCTGGAAGCTTCAAATTTGTTTTGAAAAATTGCCGAAAAGGAAAGTAGCAAAATTATGAGCTCTATCAAAAGGTTCAGTGGTCTTGAGTCCTGCGGGAAAGCTGAGAAATTCAGCCACCATTTCTTAAGATCTCCACATGAATTTTGTTGCTGATCTGTGATTGTTCTATTTTTCCCTATCCCTTATTCACATCTGCTATCCTGGCCATCTTTTGAGGACCTTGCGGATAATATTATGATTCCTTTGTAGTAAAGTAGGAGGGTTGGTTTACTAAAACCTATCTGGGCAATGCCACTCAGCTAAGGATAATGGAGGGGAGGCAGATTTTTTCACCAACCTATCTCCTGGTAAAGGATGGCATTAAATACTATCGTCCAAAAATTTTTGAACTTTCAAATATTTTCTGTAAATTGGATGATATTGGTTTTTTTTTTTCTTTTTTTACAAGTGCCTCAATTTGTGTTGACATGATCGTCAATTGGCTTTTTCATAAAAATAATTAATATACATAAAGGCCACTTGTACATTCTTCAAATGATACAATTAAATAAATAAAAAAAAATACATGCATTTCTGAAATTTAGAGAGGAAAAGGAACTTTTTAAGAAATATAAATTATTTAAGATTATTATGCACAAGACTTCAGGATAGAGATTCATAAGCAGCAACCAAAATTATTTAAGCGCTAATCGAACTTTTAAAAAGCCTTACTCATTTTCATAGTATAATAACTTGATTATTTCAATCGAGTAAAAGTTTTCAAAAGGACTATCTTCTCTTTTATTCGCACTATTATGGAAAGTTCATTTTTTTCTAAAATTAAATTATGAAAACACATGGTTGAGAATATCAAAATAAAATTAAATTCTTAATAAAAATCGAACTTAAAACTAATTGTATGCTTGTCACCAGTAAATGAGGATAAAATGATGACACTTGAAGAATGTCAGTTCGATGACATTTTCATGATCATTGATCCTGATATCCTACTATTTCATGATCTTACTCAACTGTTCGATAAAAAAAAAAAATAATAATAAAGATAATACAAAAAGAGGTAATAGACACACGTCACATATCGGTAGTAAAACTACCAGACCATGTATCTCGTTTGCGATGTTTCAAAATCTTCCCTCCCATTTCATTTTTTTGAGGGAGAACAAATTAATATCATTCCATGAGGGTTTCACAGAGTCCACCAACCCAGATATGTGGTCTGGTAGTTTCCCTATCAGTATGCTTCATACATGGTACAATGAACGTGCTGGGTTAAGAAGTTTCTTAGAGGCAGTTTTCTTACTTCACCTGGGAAATTCGCGGTACCTTTAAGTGATCCAAAAAAGACCAAACACTACAGGAGTTCAAAGAAAGTACTGCAATTGTTAAAAATTTTGAAAAAAGAAAAAAAGCGCACTGCGGCTAATAGTCTTCAAATCAATAAGACCCAAAATTTACCCAAAATGTATAGATGTAAGGAACAAAAACCAACAGTTTTGGAGATTTCTCTAACCAGTTTTGTCCTGATAGCTGCATGATATCTGCTGATATCCCTCCATGCACTAACAGAGTTGTAAATGGTTTTTGTATTAGAAATATCATTATTCGATAGCTTTTCGCAGGTATGACAATTGGTGGCTAGCTGCTAATCACAGAACCTGCTAATTTACATACAGAGGGAAAACTCTTTGAGAATTCCTTGAAAATATAAAAAACAGGGATGTATCAAGAGTGTCAACAATCCAAGCAATACAAAAATACTTACGCCAAACTCAGTGCTGACTGAGAACACTTGGGATACTTGATTAATTCCAAGGACGAACAGAATTTGGCTAGTTTCATCAAGTGGGTGACTGGTAAACCAACACCTATTCAAAAAGAAGGGGTAAAAACATTTGATAAGTTTGGTTCACAACGGAGAATGTTATGATCATGCTGATGAACATCAAATTAACTGTACATGTGAGAGGGAGGAGCAGAAAAAAGATCTTTATTTCCAAACTAAATCCTTGGCAGGATTGTACGGCAGAAAAACCCTAGTACAAGAAGTAAATTCAGAGCATTAACTTACAAAATTCTTTCTTAATTTCTGCCGGAAATTCGGAGATGTCAAGAAAATATTTAAGAAACCATATCATCAGCCATTTTCAAACTGATGGTCAAACACAGACTAGGCAACTGAGGGGTTAACTCTGACAGTTTGCAGCGCAGAAATACTTTCTTATCATTTTCGGACTAAATTTTTGCTGGCAGGTTAAAGCCTCAATGAATTAAGTTGGATGATTACACATAATAAGGGAGAATTACATTCTCATAAGGAGTCCCCACAGGAGTGTGCACATTTACATCAATGGCTTAAGTGCAGAACCACATAACTCCATTTGCTTCGAAATCTCTGCTATTTCATTTTCTTAAGGACAAACAAGTCAACTAACAACTAGTCGGCCTCCTGTGGTATAGTGGATCTAGCGCTTGCTCTGAAGTCGGGAGGTCCCACTGTCGATTCCCAGCCTAGTGGCCCAAGTTTGATTGTCTCGAATAACAATTATTTGGGGCTGGCTTGATTCGGGACGGAGGGTATAATAATCAAAAGCTCCTTCATTGGTAGAGTCCTTGCTGTATGAGTGTGCGCACTTTTAGACTGAAACAGAGGATCCGCCATTTTTCTTGGTGCAGTTACGTTACAAGTAAAAGTGACATCAGATGGTCTTCTGTTGCAGTCAACAAGTGCGTAAACTTATTTGGCGTGGACTCTTACAGCAATGCAACTAGCTTCAACCCAATTTCACCAAGCATTCATCTCCAACAGCGCATATCAATCAGGGGTTGCATATGTTTCTTCCATCAGAATATTGCTGCCGCTTTAGCGATCACATCAGCCAACCTACCGGTAGTTATGCTTGGAAATAATTGGAAAAACAAAAAGAAAAACGTGCTGAAAAAAAGATGGGGAAAAAATTACTAATCATAGGTACTTACGGAACATGATGCAAGGGAGTTCGAAAGAAAGTAACAATTGATACAAAACACTGAAACTTTAAAAACTGGAAACTGGAAAGTAAGTTGCAGAGTTCGTAAAGATAATATATACTCAGAATCAAAATAAATTCATCGGTAGTTGAAATTCTGAAGCAACGGCCGGTCGTTGTTACCGTAGCACGCGACTCAGAAATCAGAAATTAAAAATTTCGATGCTTTGAGGTTATTTCTCAACCTCAACAGCGTGGAAAAGATAAGGCACAGAAAACCATAGAGTACAGCATCCAGCATCCGGCAATATAGGCAACATATTATACACTTATGTAAATAAATGGTCATCCTGTCGTTCATCATTTTACTCCATGTTTTTACGTCATTTGTGTTGTGTTATGACCAGCACCACCAGAGTTGACTGTTATCGATGTTTACTTTTTGCAGGCAAAGACCCCCTACGATGTGCAGGCAAGATGGCTGCGTCGCGCGACGGGAACTCAGGGCAGTTCGAGCACTCTCTTTCCAATACCTACTCTAACCCATCCTATCGTCCGCCGCCTCCCTACCCCACCCAGCTCTCCCATCCATTTCCGTTTCCTGCGCATCTACCTGAGGCCTCTGCACGTGCACCTGTTCTGCTTTTATCAGTTTGATTGGTAGAAATGTGCACAGATATTGTTTTAGCAAATTTTTCAAGAAATGTGCTAAGTGCCTCGTATTTACCTATTAACAGGAAGTTTCCAGAAGTTGTACCATTGTGCCACAAGAAGAAATTGATAAATTTGTGCGAATGTTTAGTTAAAGTTTTAGCTTGATGGTTCATCTTTACATGGAAATATCTTTGGTACAATTATAATTTCCACAATGAAAGTCTGGCAACACAGCCAACTTAGCAAAATCCCTCATATTTCTTAGGAATTAAGTCAGATGTGAGGGTAAGATTTATCCCCCCCCCCCGCCTCCTCTCAACTAGTTCCCCCAATGCGCACAGAATGTACTAATAAGCAGCATAAAGCAGAGGGAAAGATACAGGTATAATTAATAGATAGGTATTCACAACATGGATGATTTCAAAATTTGACATCTGAAGCATGTTTGAGATAATATTAAGCACCGATAGTACTCTCCGGAGGAGGCTGCAGTGGGTGCTGCATGCATGCACACAGCCTGGCAAATACGTAAGTACAACTCTGCGTCTTTACCGACCAACTACACATCTTTTTTACCTAAAATTTAACTCTAAGTACTCTAAGTAACTTGTGTGTTTCTCCCACACGTAGATAGCCTCCTTTTATTTTTTAAATTTTTCCTGAGATCTACGCCTGATTCCAATAAAGGAAGGAAGGATGCTATCTTAGTTTTTAGCTGCCATAGCTTTATCCTGAAAACATTTATACCTTGTGCGCATACAATCCTCAAACTCATCCCTTATCATCTGGCATCCTCTGCCTATTTAGCAATAAGTATATCCTCTAATCAAACATACATGGCTCAGATATAAATTAAAGCCCCCCTCCCCCCCCCGTATTTTCCACCAAAATTCAAAATGTAAATAGGTACGTTTAAGATTAATTTCAATGCCTCAGAACGCTGGGGCCCCCACACAAGCTTGTGATTTCTCCATAAATTCTAAAGATTCTCCATCCTCAATCCTTAAATAAATTATATCATAATAATTATGTCAATAATTATATTATATCCTTAAATTATATCAGAAAAATATCTTGCCAAAGTATTTTGAGAATTACCCTGGTTGACTTGGGTTGGACTCGTTTAGAAATTTAATCTCAATCAAAAATGCCAATTCCCTGAGCTGAGCAGTTTAATTTTTCTCCGCGAGTGAAATTTGTGCTTGGCGCCATTAGGAGCAAAGAGTAGGGGAGAGGAGAGAGCAACAGAGCAGAATCATGGAGTCCGAGCGAGCTGCACGCACGCTCCACCAGCTACTCCCGCTCTGTGATCGCCTGCACCTGCACATCGTAGGGGGTCTTTGCCTGCAAAAACGCTCAATCGACTGTTATCAATCTTTTGCATTTTTGAGTGCTTTTACGGTGCAATTTTTTATTTTTTTGGAATGAATCTTTCATGCATATTTGAGGTGTTTTCATACTGTCATAAGAAGAACTAAGAAAATGTGTTCAGTTATACGATGCACGAAGCAATGAAGGGTTTTGGCATTGTTTCCGACTTGCAGTGTTTAGTGGGACCGAACTTCTCTGATAAATTTATCTCTTCATGGCACTTGTATCAGTATATCTCTGAAACATGTTTTACACCCATCGGTAATTTACTAAAGAGTTTTTCAATGATACAGAGATACTCTATTTTAAATGAAGTACGGCATTGAATATCTAGAAGATCACATTACCTATCAATTTGTATGTTTATGTATCATGAATGAGTGTTCAACACATCTTTTACACACCTCAAAAACTCTGCTGAATACCTGATTACCCATGGAATTACAATATGTCCCAATAAGTTTTCCGTCTATTAACATCAAACCAGCGTCAGCAGAAATCCACACCCTAAGTATTTATACAATTTATGCACGAAGTTGTTGAAAGTCAACTCTCCGAATTTTAGAGAAGGAATAATGTACCTGTTGCTCAACCGTCTTCATTATATTGCTTGTATGCATCCATTCAGGCAGGCATAATGCCTATCCAATAGCCCATTATTCTTAAAATGCGTTGTGAAAGTGTGATAACCCGGTACTTGCTGAATTACTGACTTTCAGTTCACTAAGTAAATGCAGCTCATTGGACCTACGGACTTCTGGAATTCATTGCTTTGCACAAGATAAGAATGTGTGAATAATAGAATTATTCATGTCAACATATCACTCAATGACAAATGTAAACGTGGTCTCATGATGCCACCTGTTAGGTACTGGGCAGTCCTATTTTTGAGCTATTTACCTTGATCATGCATTCTCATTTCTCAGGAAGTTTGATTGTTTTTTAAAGTATTTTAGCATAGTTTAGAAAAATTTGAAAGGCCCAGATGCATGATACACTAAAAAAAAAAATTTTACACTTTCCCCTGCAAAAAGGTATTTGGTGAAGCATCTTTTTGGCAGTCTTTCTCCTATCATTCTGTCAACAATTGCATGAATCTGTGAGATCATGACCTCAAATATGATGTCTAATACATTGTGGATGACAAAGAGAAGGCAATGATTCAGAGAGAAAGCACCATGTTGGTGGAGTATAATCGAAGGACATGGGATGTAATGAGATTGCCATACCCGACAGTCCCGGGCTGCCAGGTGTAACAGTGGTGCCACCAACTGGTCACGAGCAAAGCAGAACATACTTAGGTTCAAAATCACCCAAGGGGACACCTGTTCAAGCATAATATTTTTTTCACTCCCGAAGAAGGCATTCTAGATCAGGGTGTCCACTGGTCCCCAATTGTCCCCAATATCCCTAAAAATCCCCAATATTCTCGTTCAGGTCCCCATAAAATGACTAAAATCTTCCTAATCACCGGCATTTTCAAATTTGCCCACCAGCCGTGTTAGCGCGGTGCAACCAAGAATACAAAAACTGAAGTGTTGCTTGGTTTTTCGTATGTTTTCATCGGTTCAACATGACTTGTAAATTAGGCGTATAAAATACGCCTTTTAACGCTCTTACTAGCTCCCTTTCTCTTACTATCTCGAGGATGAAAGTCCCCAATTTTCTTGAAAAAGTCCCTGAAAGTCCCCAATTTTGGTTTTTCATTACTGGTAGACACCCTGTAGATATATTTTAAATGAGATCACCAAAATGAAAAGGCCTTGGAAAAAGTACAGAAAAAATTAATCCATGTGATTTTAAGACACCATTGATTGAAAAATGTCTTCTTTTTTTAAAATATAGAAATTATTTTTTCTTCATGTAATATTTTATTTTGTTGCAGTTTTGAGAATCTCAAAAAAATCTTAGCCTAAAATTGTATCCGGCCCTGTTGTGGTAGATCATTTCTCTTTCCAACTGAGATCAGAATTTTACATCTGACCCGGGAAGAATGGAAGAGTCTAAGGAACTGCAACTACTCCAAGAGTGGGCTCCTTTGACATACATTACAGAGCAAATTAAGCGTGAGGTTCGAATTGGTTTCTCGTCCATGAAACAGCATTTGACATGCATTGATTTTACAGATACTCACATTTCCGTTGGCTCTGATTGTGGGGTCATTTACTGGTGTCCTCGTTCTGGTCTGAAACCTAGAGAACTGAGATTACAGGTAACTTTTGTTTTGAGCAATATTTCCCATTTACTTTATTTTGTATATCGGATAAGGTCCCTAGCCATTTTGAGGAATTTAAAACAACATTTTAATTACAGCAGGATAATAGAAAGGAGAGAATTGGCGTGTATGTAAGATATAAGGCTTGGAATGAAACGTTTCTTTAAAGATCCTCCTTTTAAGAATTTGCTCTATGGAAACTATTCACACAGTCATAAGTTCAAAAATTGAATCTGCACTGCAATGCAGGCAAATACAGCAAACATCAAGTATTTGAAGAAAGAAAATACATGTAGACCATACCTTCCACCGGTCTTTTTTTTTTATTTTTCTAGTTTTTGCAATGATTATGTTAATGATTAAGTATGTTGTATTCAATTTCAGGAGAACGGCTTAATTTTATAACCTAATGTGCTGTGTATCTACTGGTTATATTCTGTTTATTTCGAAACACAACCATTATGAGACTTAAATAACATCATTTTTGACAGCAGTGTTCTGAAATTTCTATTCTCATTCTGTATCTGTCAGGGAGTATTACTTGCTATCTTATATGTGATCTTGGGAGAAGATTCTTGAAAGGGCAGAGGGTTGGTTCAAATAACCACCCTAGGGTGGGAGGGTTGGTTTTTTAGACTTTTTGCACTGTCAACCCTGAACGACAACTTGAAGTCAACGAAAGTAATCAAGTTTCATAACCATTTTTTACTGCCATAACGCACTACACCACAATAATTCATGATAAATTTAAAGAACATCCCTGTCAAAAGTTGAGTTTTCCTTAGATTTAGCACTTTTTTATGGGCTACATTAAGGAGAAAATTAATTAATTTTGTCCTTACCGTCATTTATTATTTCATTCAATCTTTTATTTTCTGGCCCTTATAGGAATTTGGAATACCAATCACAGCAATTCGAATAGGAATTCCAAGTAAAGAATGTAACTGGATTGCAACTGGGGATAAACTTGGCTCAATTCATGTTTTTCAAATTTCAACGAAACACTCTTCCGAGGTATGATTGGTGGTTTTATTAATTTCTCATCCTAAGAACTACTGTCCCTTTTTTTTTTTTTTTNATGAGATAAAAAAAAAAAAACGTTGTACAGTTTTTTTTTTATTTATTTTTCTTTCGACTCTCGAAGATCACTATAACAAAACGAAAACACGAAAATAAGCTGTGAATACAATAACTCCCAGATTAATATGCTAAAGTAATTTTGATGACTGGGTTTAACATTGAAATGCCAAGTAACACTGAATACAGCTACATGCTTATCCAGGTTCCAGCCAATTTTTAGAACATTCAGTGTTTTTTTCCCCCGGAGGAATATCGATTGCCTCTGCAGTTATGAAAAAAAATTGTTATTATTGCTGGATTCTCAGGTTTTTAACCTTTTGTTTTTGAGAGATGTACTGATGCATCAAACAATTTTTTGGAAAGTGACTCTTTTTCAAATTCTGTAATGCATGAAGTTTTGCACAATTTACAGGATAGAGTGTACCACATTCCGAAACATCACAAAGCTGCTGTAACAACTTTGGAATGGAGTGATTCTGGAGACACTTTATTCTCTGGTGATGAAATTGGGATAATTAAAACGTGTGAGCTTTTGTTCAATAAGGTTTGTTTTTGCTTCTATTTCTAGTTTTCTCTCTTCAATTAGAATATAATATTTTAAATTGAGCATCTTCAAATATTAGTTTGTGAGCAACATTTATTCAAGTAGGTGAAGCATTAATACTGACATATGATGGCCTCAAATATTGAAGAATCAGGTCCAGAAGGATCAGGTTTCAATCAAGAGAGTTTTACTATTGTTTATTATTTCCCCTTCTACAGCTACTATTTGGATTACATTTTGCAAAAAGGAACCACTATCTTTGGCTCTCACATGAAAGCACTTATCTGCATAGGGAAACCAATGGCATGAATGTTGTTTCTAAGATGGGCTAGAGATAGTGGTTCCTTATTGCAAAATGTAATCCATTTTAACTGTCTACTTAATGATGTTTATTCACGTTAGATCAGTTGAAACATCTATCAATCATGCGCAATGTCTCAATTAAATTCAATTGAAGCCCTGTACTAATTACAAACATATTTCTGCTCTCAGAATAATGCATTAAGTATCCGCATACATGTTCGAAGTAAAAAAAAAAAAGAAACATTCATCATTCTGTTTTTCTTGCTCTACTTTAAGCTTACTACTTACTAACAGTTTCTTTACTTGTTCTTTTTTTACTCTTGCAGACATCATTAGTAGGTAATAAGCAAATGATTGATGAGCAGTACAAAATCATTCAACTTAGTTTTAAGGCACCCAACTTTTTGTTGGCTTCAACTTTACATAGGGCTGTGATCATAAAGAATGCAACTCATAAAGACTATAGCATTCAACGAATTGGGAAGAAGGCTAGAGCCAGGTAATATCGCATTCTTTTATTGAGCTCAAATTCAATTGCAAAAATCCCATATTTTTTTCAGAGTTTCATAATTTTGTTATCTTGCTAGACTCTCATCCAACAAAATTCTTATTAACTTGGTGTGATCCCAATTACATTCATGATTCAGTTTTGGAGAAAATTTTGAGCCTACAAATACTCATTGTTCTGAGTTTTTTTAAAGAGCAGCAAATACCACCAAGAACAGACCCTTTCATAGATGAGCTGATTTTGGGAACTTTTTTACCATGGACCTATTCAGAAGTCAAGATTTTATCCTATAACAACCAATCAATCTAAAATGGAAGTGTATGTCAAGAATCCATGCTATAAAATGAGTCAATTGGAGGATCACTTAACATATTCGTTTAGATCTTGCCGGCTTTCTGAGTCGGTTCAAATGATTGTTTTAATTGAAGGTACATCACTGTATTGCTTTGAAGTGTTCATTTATAAGCATGTCAAAAAGAAGGATTCACCGAACTAACGTCTGATTTTTCTGTCAAACCTGCTTCAGCTGACACTCATGATAGTGCTTTGGTTTCTAATGAGCTGTCCGTAAAAATTATTAATTAATTTGCTTTTATCAACTTCATATGTTTTTCTTCTTTTCCTTTCCCATGTTGACATCCTCATCCAGTTTAATGCCACTCGGAGGTATTCTCACAGGCCCAGATGCAGAACCACTTGTTTTAGCTGCCCGTCCAAGACAAAAACTCTGGATTGCAGACATTAATGGAGATGTTATAAAAACATTGATCTTTACGGTAATTTCTTTGATACTTTTTGCTCTCTCTATCTCTCTTTATACATATGTAGAGAGAGATCTATCTCTATCTCTTGCTGTTTTTTGACCTCTCTCTTTGGGTTCAAAATTTTCCTTCAACAGATGATTAATGAAGACAGTTACATCCTGTTCCTATGTTCTCAAGAAAAGTCACGGCAAACCTGTAAAGTTTCATCAATAGGCGAGAGGGAAAAAGCAACAATCACCAGAATTTCCCCTCTTTCTTTTCTTTCTTCTCCTACGCACCTTCTCTACTTCATCTCCTGTCCGTTTTTTTCTCTGAACTTCTCATTTTCAAATTCAAATGAAACAAGCCAAGGCCTGCAAAACAAAATTTTTCTTCTAATTTCTCCTTGTATCCTTGGCAATTAATCAAAAATCGAAAAAGAAGAAGAAGAATAGGTGGTCAGTTGCATTGGTCATGGAATCATGTTTTGAAATTTTATGTTTATAGATTAGCAAAAACGCCTAGCTCGCATGTCCAATATTAACAGAGATGTTGCCCTTCAAAAAACAAGTTGAATGACGTTGTCCACCCCGGTAATTTAGCACTTACCATGGTTTCTTCCACCTTGGATTCATCACTTAGTGATACACACGTTTGCACTGGTTGCTGGAATTAAAACGTGGACAAAACCATATTTTTTAAATGGCGGTATCTCCGATAATATTGGGCGCATTTCGGTGTTTGGACAGATCTTATTATTTTTTGCTGATAAATAATTTGAAATCATCAAAATACGATTCTATGACAACTTTAATTGACTTATTGTAGATGTAATGTGTATATTTATGTTACAGAGGTCGACTCGGTTGGTTCGCTCACTCTGAAAAATAATTGAGGTTTTGGAACTCACTTTATTTAGCTTATGCAAGATATTAAATTGCTGCTAAATTGTCCAAATGGTCAGAATCTGGGATAAAATATTTAGAAAAAGAAAAGAGCTTACAACAGATTGTGTTGACAATAAGTTCCCATTGTCATTTTATCCTCAAAAATATATTCAAGAATGGCTAAGCAGATAAAATGGAACTCATGGAAAGATAGTGGAGAGAAACCTCCTTTGCATGGCTTCCCCCCAAAAAAGAATTGCTCAAGCTGAACTGAGAAGGCTCTCAAACATTACCTTTAAATACAAATCCAAGAGATAAGTAGGTACTCAATAAATTTAAATTATAGGTAAAATCATTTCAGTAATAAGAACCGTAAGTGATGAAGCCATGGAAATTTTTTGACAAGATTATATGCATGTAGGGAGAATATGGGTTCCATACTTCCTTAATATTTCGTTTTTTGAATTGAAGTCAAAATCACTCATTGAATGACAATGAGTAGCTTGAAATGGCCGTGATGGTTCATGAGGTAATTATTTTGTACTTTTCTCCTCCGACTTTCAAACAGTGACATTATTTTCTACCAACGAGATGTCAGTTATCTCATTGTTTATGCACCATTGTCCATGAGTTAATTAGTGCAGTTTATCTATGTAACACCAATTTTCCTTGAATTTATGTTTCAGAACTTGAGTTCGGAACCATTTCCTGAAATCAAATTGATCAACACAGCTGTGAACTTTACAAATTCAAATGATCTCACAAATGTAGAATTTAACCGAATAGAAAAATTCACCAACAACTTTCTGGTTGTTTCACACCATCATGGAATCCTAATATTAGATACAGATTCAATTGCCGTTACTGCCGCCCTAAGTGGCTTACATGACATAAAAAATGTAGCTGTTTTTTGTGATGAAATTATGTTTTTGGAGGGGAATTTTAATATTGTCCGACTTGGATGGGAGCCTGATCCCTACCAGTCCCAATTATCAGGTAGTCCAGAAAATATTTGACCAAACTCCCTTTACAATTGCCTTTCCAACCTTCCTATTATCTACTGGATCAGTTGTGAATAGCAATTGTTTTGAGTGGCCTCTTTAAAAAAATAATCTTGGTTTGATAGTGCTACGATGCGCGATGTGGCAACACGAGACGACGCCCAGCTGACTGGAGAGTCATGGGGAAGAGGTCATTCAGGGACCGGCCTAGAGATATGGCGCACGCCTTTGGAGATTTTGATATTGTGATATTTAAAAAAAAGAAAAAGAAATATTGCAATATCAAAATCTCCAAGGTGAGCCATCTCTCTAGGCCGGTCCCCGAATGACCTCTTGCCCTCGACTCTCCAGTCAGCTAGGCGTTGTACCGTGTTTCCACATTGCCCATTGTAACAATAGTCAGAATCAAAGTAATAACTTACTTGCTGTTGAAAATTGGCAGTTTTCTCGAACGTTCCTAAGCTTTTCTTTCAAGAGGAAACTGATGACTGTTCAAACTACAACAAAGCACCATTCAGTTTTATTTCAAAGATGATTTATCTCCATCTAAGAGTAAATTAAGATGTAGGTTGCCTGATCTATTTTATCAGATTAAAACTAGCATTTGGAAAATGCCAAAACAAAGATGTTCAAATAAGCTCACAATTCAAGGGATTCTCAAAAGCAATGTTGAAATTCTGGTCTTATTACTTCAGAAATTTGTAAAGCTTCATATCTGAAGAGTAAGGGTTCAAAATAGTTATTATCCTCTCAAAATTCTGATTTTCTATTGTCTCCTAGTCTGAAACACTACTTACGCATTTTGCTGAAAGATAAAATCAATATAATTTCTTTTAGTAGTTAAATAGATGTCTTATGTTTTACTTGCTATGAATCCTCATGATATTTTAACATTTTTGGCAGGAAAAATAGACGATCACAAACTACCAGTTGGTGAAGCTCTAATCGATATCAGTACACGCTTAAAACATGGTGCTTTATCCTTTGTTCCTATTTTAACTGCAACATTTCAAGGTGCTAAGAAGTAAGTGAAAGTTCTGTAAATCATCAATCAAATTTTAAAAAGTTTGATTTTCATACAAATCGCAAAAAATATGAAAAATCAAAATTTTTTGCCCGTATCATCTTATAAATTCCCCTCCCCTCCCCCTCCACCCTAATTTTTTACAAGAACGATCATGCATGGAAGTAGCAACCATGATTGCACTTCAAGACTTTGCAAGAAGCCTTCTCAACGAAATTTTTTGTTGAAGTTTTACATCAGAAATCGGTGATTTTGTACAGTAATCATGGAGTTTTACCAATAAATTTGGTATTTTTCTTGTAAGAATATCCAAATGTTTATTTTGCATCTTACACCTTTAAAAAGAATGTTCTTTATATCTCGAAATTAATTTCAAAGCCATCATAGAAAAGGAGGAAACTCCCCGAGACCCAGGAAAAATTGGGAAACTTTCAGAATCTACTTGAAAAATTGTGGTGCCCAGGAAAGAACTCTTTACCTTCATGCACATTTGATGTGCATCTAAATATTTGTTAATTTTTAGCCAGTTTGTACTTTGTACCGTTGTGAATTTTTCACGCAATGAAATATTGATTGATGCTTAGTCAGCATCAACCATACTTTTTGCCTCTCTGAAAAGTTTGAGCAAAGTTCTAAAGTTCAAGTTCTTTGTGAAAGTCCCCGAAAATAAAGGAGAGCTAGGAAAGTAAATCCTAGGGCCCCGGATGAATTAGGTAGGAAAATTTCTTTCCACCCTTGTATCGTTGTAAAACTACAAAGATGACATCTCAAAGATCATTATGAACAACCTATAGGATTTTTCATCTCATACTTTAATCCTTTCGTATTGTAATAAGTCATAATAGTAGCACAACGACTTCATGTTAAGCCGGTGACAAAAACTAGATCCCGCCATGAGGGAGGACACAAAAAAACACTAAAAACGTACCTAACTCTTGTACAACCAAAAAAAAGACCTCGAAAACTTTAAGAACTGACCTACTCAATTCTCAAGAAAGAGAGTTTAAAATTTCAGAAAATCTTTAATTTTCATGCGCTTGCTTGTTTCGTCAAGATTTCTCGGTATTGACAGGGGAGCATTTAGCAATAATGTTGCATCACAGCAATGATAGATTACAAAATATTTCATCATAGCAGAGCAGGATTCTTCTTTGGGATAAAAGCTAACCTTTCTATCCCTTCCTCCAAAAAAATGCTAAAATCCACCAATTTATTGGTGATACTTTTTTACTTTTTCGACTAAAAATGTACTAAGTAGATGCGGGTAAAGAGATAATTTTTTTGGCAAAATCGAAGGGAAAATGAAAAGTTAACTCGTATTAAGTACCAAAGATACCCTCGCTCTTTGCCAAAAAAAATGTGATCTACTTAACTCTGATGGATACCTATCTATGTATTTCAATGGATAAGTGGAATACTCTGTTTGTTTTTCTGGAGATATAACATGCACGGCTTTATCATCCTAGGTCTTCAGATCAAGTAAGTGAGGCAGATGAAGCTTCTGAACTTCCTACCATTGTATCTGTGGATGGTGTTGCTCCTTTATGTGTGGATAGATCCACTGTCAGATGTGTCCAGCCTCATGAATTTGAAAACATTGCTCTCGCACAAAAACGGGTGAGCATAAAATTTGTCCAATTTTTCCCTCACAATCGCCCTAAATGTGATTGCTCTTTAATGATAACTACAAACATTGGTGATTGAATGCATGAGTCAAAAAATACTTGCTAGTTGAAAGATGATTGACTATGAACTAATTAGTATAGTAAGTGAATGAATCAGAATATTTCTCATTAAGAAGAGGAACTTTCATTTAATAAACAGGTTGAGTAGTGCAAAACTTTTCAAAATTGATTCGGAAGGTTAGGTTTTGAAGAACACGTTTTGGGGTTAAGTGAATCTTCATCAGCTCCTACCATTTCTGTCTCTTTCTTTCCTCGTAACTCGATCTTTTTTCATCAATTAATTTTTTGTATTTTATCCATAGTGTTTTTCTTTCTAATTTAGATACGAAGGAAAAAACCAATCCAAAGAAATCGTAGAATGAAAGTAAGCTCAGGTAATTCGAAATTCTAACATCATTAACTCATTCAAAGATTAATTTCTCGTAATTTCCTTCTTTTTGAAAAATCAGGAATGATTTGATAAAGAACTACTCTGCCGTGCCAAGGAAGAGCGCCGTATGAACATTCGAGAGTTGCCAAATTTCCTTCAGGTAAATGTTTATTTTTTAGGAAAGTTATGAATATTTTTCCTTAAAATTTTCAGGGACTTTAGGTGAAATTGCGAGCAAAATTATCTGAAAAATTGGAGGGAGAATTTTCATAAGTTTACCAGGAAATTTGTGTTTTATCAAGGCAAATTTGGCAATGCCTAAAGGTTCATACGACTCTCTTCCTTAGCACGGCAGTATTCAAGTGTTACATAGTCCGATAGAATCTTTTGTAATTTATTTTTCCTCTCTTGGACTGTTTGGTCAATTGCAAAAGCATGAAAAGCTCAAAGCTCATCTCAATAAAACATTTAATTGCTCTAATCCATCATAAAATGGATTAATGAGCAACAATAACATAAGGTAATAATATTATCTGGATTATTTATAATTTTATCTGTTTTTCAGGTAATAGAAATCCTTATTTTTCAATTGATGAATTTTTCTTTAAAAGCCACTTTGTCTATTCTTTGTTTGCCAAAATACGAAGGCTGTTCCCAAAAAACAGAAAGCTGGTCTGTTTTGAGGAAATTATCGACGTTATAGTAATATAGGTTATAAGAAGTCGCAGCTTATTTTATTAACTTTCTAATGAACCCTTGTTAAACTCATTCCTTGGTAGTAGCAGAGCNGGAAACACTACCTACGCTTGATCTCGGGTGACGATCGAAGAAAAACAGGTCGAGATGGAAAAATTTCGCCGAGTTAAGCGGGTTCAGAATCTGACCAAACCGAGATACCGAGACTTATTAAGCATTGTGTTATATGGGTGATAAACGGGACCGGGCGATTCTACCGACTAAAGCGGGTTACCGGCTTATCCGGAAACCGACTTAGCGAGGTTTTACTGTAGCAGAGCTCAATTTGTATTTTTTAAAAGAATACAAAGAAAAGATGATGGTAATGGATGCACAATGATTTTATGACAAAAATAGGAAATTTTTGCTGTAAGTATCCTCTTTTAACTATCTCGCCATTTAATGAGAGACACAGTTGTTATTTAAACAATGTATGAATGATAGTTAAATGTTCCTGGTCTTCTTTATGAATTAATAGTCAAGAAAAGTTCAAAGAAAGTTAAAAGTATACGTTTCAAGAAAATCAGCAAGACCACAGGCACATTTTAGGAAGTGGAAAAAATCTTTGGACATCAATTTAGAACCATTCTTTGCATGGAAGCTCTTGTTTACTATTACTTTGTGATAAACATTTTAAAATTGAAACATCCCATCTTCACTCCTAGGTGTTGATTCCGGATCTGATTCCTTAAGTACGACGAGTGCGTTTTCAGAATTCACCAGTGACAGTGAGTTATCTAGGCAACCTTCATTAACTAATATGGCATTGGAGGACATTGTAAGTATTCTATTTTGTATCCTCCTTTTCTTATTTATCATCATCTTTACAGTTCTTGAATTGACTTTCATTTCGAAAATTTATCTCAGAAATTCTGGTTTACCACTAAGTAAGTCACAGTTGAACAATAAAAAATCGGTAAAAATCCTCAAAAGTATGAGACTTGAAAAGAAAATCCTTTTCTACCTGTTATGAGGTGAGAATGAATTGAATTAAAATGTGATCCTGTTAAAAGTAAATGATAAAGGAAAACTCAAGTAAAAGTTCTAGCTTGAGTAGCTTGAATTTGTCTAACGTACAGCATTCGGCAAGCATAGATATTACTTTCAGATGCCCAGAATAATGCCAGCCTTTCAAGTATTCTCTTTTCAGTTATGCTAAAATGAGGTCATCGGGAAGGAGCAATTTTTCCTGTAATGCTGATTTTGGCATCCAGTGCTCACTTTTTCCCCTTGAAAGCTAATCCCATTTTTAGATTCGATTAGATTTAAATCCTGGAGGACAAAGCCCAAAACACGGAAACTCTAAGAAGTTTACTGTGAACACTTATATAATTCCAGAGCTTGGCCTTATACTTTGCATTGATTTGTAGTACAGAGTACACCGATGATGAAACTGCAGAAATGCGTATCTCAGTTTGCAGCATCACAGGCTTCCTGGTAAACTTTACTTTTTACGTGGAAAACTATGAAACGTTATTTTTTGAAATCTTAGATAACTTTTCTAATCTAAGCTAAAAATATTCTGTGAAAATCTCAAATCATGATGTTGGCTCTGTTTCCATTTAAGAAATTAAATAGGGGCAGAAATTTTGAAATACCTCAACTCAGATACACACTTTTTCAATTTTACCATCAACACTGAGTTATAAGAGAATTGGGGGAGCTTAAGTTATTTTTAGGCTACCAGAACCCACAATAACCAGAGACCTCTGTGTAACATCATTCTTATCCTTCAATATAAGCGATTAATTTCAATATTCTTTTAACCACTGTGACATTCTTCACTATGCCACCATATATCATGGGAAAAGATGCCTAAAACTTGGCGCATGCAGAGCCCAAAGTTTTTTAGTCAAGGCATGCTTTCAGCTTCTCTGTTTCCTTTACAACTTTCTATACTCCATGGTTCATCATGATAGCAGCCTGGGCAATGTAGCATGTCACGACAAGTTTAAGGAAAATCTGCTTCTTCTGTCCTTTTGCTTCATTTTGGGGGAAAGTGAACCTTCCACACTGGGTTTAGAGCTGGTGAAAGATACCTACATGATTTCACAATGTTTATTTCATTATTCACTAACTAATGGTATGTTTCTTTCAGCCCAAAGATGAATATTATTCAGGAGAACCATACATTCCGGCTGACATAAAGCCAGATTTAAGAAATTTAGACGCAATAAGTGCTGATGTTTCATCCAAAGAGAAAATCTTAGAGGAATCTTTACACTTAAATGATGTGATTTTGTCATTTCGGAAAACCGGTATTAAACCTCAATTAAATCATTCTTTCAACACTTGTCAATCATTTTCCCAACACGAGTAATTCAGGGTTCCTAGTGACCCAGAAAGTGCAAAGAATTTTGAGAGAAAACCTTAAAAACTCAAATAATTCCAGTATGTTTTAATAAATAAATGCACAAAACAGTGAAGGCCGCCTAAACAGTCTTTACTAAAATGTAATTGTTACCACCTCAGCACAAACGTAAAGAAATTACAGAGACTTTGGCATTTTGAAAATACATACATCACGGAAAAGGTGATTTCTATTTCACTGAGACTCAGTATTGTGGTTATTCCATCTTCAAGTAATGATTGATATTGTTTGTATGGAGGCTGAATTTTTTTCTTTTCAATTTAATCTGGGACATTCATAGATTGCTGATTGGGCAGAAAATGAAATCATGAATGCAAATATGCACGATGTCATGGGCAATGACTGGGTCCAGCGCAAAAACAATCTTTGCAGGACAATCCTGACAATACCTGGGCACCGAGGGCAACAAGTAACCTTTGTATGTTGTGTATGTAGTCTCTGCAACCTGTGCTTTGAACTGGACTATGCCCACAACTTGTTGAAGACTGTCATTTGTTTCCATCTTTGCACTGAATTTTTGGAGTCATAATTGTATACAACTAGTCATTGCCCATACTTTGCAGATACTTTATGTGCTGACCATTTAAGAACTTGCCAGTGTTTCTGAAAAGAAGTGAATTCAGTTAAGGTATGGTGTGTTTGAAAACATGACTGAACGAATGTATGTATATCTGCGCTGAAACTACCAGTCCACACATCTTGGTTTGCAACATTGTAGACTTTCTGTCATGCTTTATTTTTTAAATAGAAAACTACTCAACGTTAATCATCAAAAATATACGTGATTATTCTTCTTTGTGCGAAGAAAACTGCGAAAATTTCAAGAAACAATATTGATGTGCTTTCCTTCCAAAAAATAAATGGGAGTAGAGATTTTTAAACATTGCAAATGAGATACGTGATCTGGTAGTTTCACCGTCAATATATGACTGTCCACGGGAAAGAAAGCTGATTCCATGAGGGCTAAATTTTTGGCTCAACGACTTTTATTTAAATTGGGTCAATCAAAGTCAGATTTTGAGATTCTGATGGGAAACTTTTTCTACAGTCGGAGATTTAGAGGATAAGTTCCCCGCATTCTGTCTCATATTTTTGCCTGTAAATGGTGTGAAATTGCATCATAATTTGGCAATTTTGTACCCTTAACACAGCATACAAAAATTTAAGTAGAGCTTTTTCAAAACTGCGTTTTTTGAGCTTCAAATCTCAAAACAGCATACCTCCTGTTAGTTTTGCGATCAAAAGTAAAGATCATTCATGTGACTGGTTTCTTGCATGGAGATTATCTTATAATTTATCATCAATGCTATTCTCTTTTTTTCAGACATAAGGTCTAATTCAGAAAAAGACAATGAAAATGCGAAACCTAGTCCTGAGTTTGAAGATGCCTTACTATTAATGAACCAATCTAGCAATGATGACTCCAAATTTCTTCAAACTATTAACTCTCATCATAGCAATGAACATTTTTTGGATCTACCATCAGTTACTTCTTGTGCTGAAAGAAATTCTTCCTGTATGTCTACCCCTAAACAACATGATGAAGATAATCACTCGATTCTATCTGAGAAAAGTCATCTTGAAGATGGTAAGTGGGGAAATTGATTCATTAAAGTATTCAAGTATGACCTGCGTAAAATTTGATTTTTGCACAGCCAAAAATGAGTTAAGAACAGTAATATGATTTAAAGGGATCTGGTATAACTTGAGTGTCTATGGATTTCACATATTATCGAGACAAGTCGAAGATGTGTAATTTTATGTACAATGAAAAATGTCTGTCAAGTGTTGTTTAAACAGGGATGATCTGTAGGATCCATGAACTCTAACATGAATTGCCTCCAATTTACCAGCACCCAATGGAATTTTTTGCCATTTAATGCAACTTTCAGACCTTCTCTCATAATATTACAAAATTTGTATGAAAGATATTTTAAATAAAGTAACCAGATGAAATTAATTTTTTCAAACACTTAGCACAACATTTTGTTGATTTGCGTGATAAATACAAGAACACATCTATGCAGACTTAAGTATCACATTTTTCCTAATTGAAAAAAACATGACACATACAGCGATACTTTAGGAATGCGTATCTTAGCTTGCAGCATTGTAGAATTCTTGGCATATTTTATTCTTCACATGGAAAACTGCAAAAAGTAATTTCTTAAACACCTTTTTCTCTTAATTTCTTGATTATACCTTTGTATGTAAAGAATATTCAGTGAAAATTTCAAGCCGCGATGTTAGTTTGGTGTCCTCTTAAGAGATGGAATAAGAGCGGAGATTTAGAAACATGGAACCGGAGCTATCCCTTTTCCCCAGTTGCAACGTTGACATGCTTGTGAAGAAACTAACTACTTTGATGTGTTCCCCCACACCCATGCCTCTTTTGATCAGTGGGTAGAAGCACTACTCACCAATCATCCCCCTCCTTCTCTTGTACAGGGTGATCTGAAAGTTCAGCCCCACTAGCACCGTGCATCAGCCCTATAACTTTTGAAAAAATTGAGTTAGACTCGAAATTTTGTGAGTGCTCCTAAGTTGAAAGAAACTATTTTGGCAACCCTTCCCTCCAAATTCTATGGGGACCACCCTGAAAATGGCAACCCTGGGGCTTAAGGGTTGCCGCTGAACTCTTGGACCATCCTGTATCCTGTTGCTATTTTTTCTTTTCAATTATACCGTGAGAATTTGAAGTTGCCAGTTCAAGACGTTTCAAACCAAAATAATCAAAGCCTTTGCTAACGAAGAATGCATGTTACAATTTCATTTTCAAGGAAATTTATTTTGTAGTAAATTTTGCAAGAAAATTTACTTTAAAATCGTGGATTCCAGCTCTACAATGCAATTGTAGCACCAATTGAAACTTTATTGACCCATAAGACTTAGTGTAGCTTTTACATTTCTCTCCTTTTTTTTCTTTTTCCTCCTGAAGTCACGAAAATAGACTCACCTCCTTCTCTTTTTCGAGGTTCCAGCTTAAATGTATAGTTAAAATGACTCTAATCACATCGACAAACATGAAGAAACTCATCCTCCTAAAAAACAATATTGCTCAAGCTTTAACCAGCATTGGTTCAAAACAATTTTGCTGAAACAGCGGAAAATTAGTTACGTATGTGCAAGCCAATCTTGTAACCACTTTCTCAGAAATGAGTACAGTAGAAATTTTACAAGAAGAAAAAAAAACTATCTCTAGATTAATTTCATATTTTACATATTTTCTATTCTCTTTACCTGTTTTCAGCTGCTGTCTCTGCTTTTGGTGGGTTACTGGATTGGGATCAGGTAAAAGCCCCAGAAAGTTTAAAATGGTTCTGTGTGTCAGAAAACTTTATTTTAGCAGGTGGAAAGAAAATGAACGCATATGTCTGTGATCGAAGAGAGAAAACTATTTCATGGAAGCAATTAGATTTTTCTACTTCTCAGATGTTTATGAGCCCAAAAGGATCAGTGATATGGAAATTAGATGTAAACATAGCCTATGAGTTAAGGAATAATGGTAAGCAATTTTTTCCAGCAAATTCATGTGCCCTCTTTTCTCTGTAACGTCTTCATAATAATTGTAGCAACAAAGTAGAGCTTGCAAGAAAAATGCCATTTTTGGTCCCCCTCTTGACATCCGTTAAAGAAGTTATTAGTCATAATGGAGCCCTTTTTTTTCCAAACATTGCGACTCCTCTAATGAGTGGGAGAAGAAAAGAAGGAAGAGGGGGTCAAAGTCAAAACCTCTGCAGCCCAATACCTTCTCAATGCAATAAGGCATCAAGAACAAATTGTCTCTGAAAAGTGTTTAAAAATACAAACCATTAGAATACATTACTGATTTGATCATCCAATAATTTAAACACACTACAGTGACAATTTTTCTTCTTTTTTGCTCGTAACATTTTAAACATCTTAAAACATGAGATACTAATTTCTCACAAATGATATTTTTACAACATGTTTTTCAGAAACTGATCAAAACTTTAGAATAAGAAAATAAAATCTTATCCTCATTACCAATAATAGCCACAGGTACCATAGTCCTTCTCCTCTTTCATACGGAAATGCTTGAGGTAAACGTTAAAATTTTAACAGTACATTCATTAAGCTTCTTTTTTTTTATTTCCTTCATTTCTGTTTATTTTTTTTTCTTACAGATTTATTTAAGTGTGATTGGAGGACAGTGTCAAGAAATGTTACAAGTGTTTCATTAAGTGATTTTATTGCTTCGTATATCTGTGATAATCAACTTTACTTGCAAACAGCTTCGAGTTTTGCATCAAGTATCTCTTCTCCTGCCTATTATGTGCCTTCTCCACTGCAGTTGGCAGTTGTTTCTTGCTATAAATTGGTATGTTTTGTCACTTCATCATGGTAATATGTAGTGAGCGTGACTGAGAGAATCAACATTTTCTGCTATCTGCAGAAAATTAATTTCTCAATTATTCAAAAAATCTAACTGGAGATAAAGATCTCTGTTGTATTGAACTTAAATATTCACCATCCGTCTTGCAAATATTCTGTCTATAAATAAATATGAATTACATTTACATAAAACTGCTAAAATCATGAGAAATTAAAATTTTTTACTTCAATGGACCACTAGACAAGGTACGAATTTCAGTATTCTGATACATGTTACTTTACCAAAATTTTACGTAAAACACGATGCGCACAACGAAAATTATCGAAATCAACTCCTTCCGAAGATATTTAATGATTCTTGGTGCGTGAGTTGAAACCACCCGCTCACGAGAACTCAATGCTCTACGTAATTCACATCGCGCGCTAAACGTTATCATGACAGTCTCTGCGATATAAACATCTGGCAACCTCAATCTTGACGCTTTGGCTCAGTTATAGCAAATTACTCATAGTTTGAAAAACACATGGTGGGATTTGAACATTGCTTCATTGAGAAGCTTGCTGAAACCGTTGTAGTGCGCGATTTGACTCACCTAGAGCTTTGAGTTTCTTGTGAGCGGGCATTTCCAATTCCTCGTAACCAATGTGAAATAAAAATGTTAATATCTCCGTTAGGAGTTGGTTTCAGTAATTTTGGTGCGCGAATCATGTTTTACGCGAAATTCTGGTTAAAAAACACGTATCAGAATGCTTAAATTTGTACCTTGTCTAGTGGTCCATTTGGACCATTCTCCATCATTTTTACTCTAGAATAATCCCAACTAGCCACACCAATTCAAAGAAGAAATTCAAATTCGACCCACCCTTTTTTGAAGCCAGAGTTTTGAACCATAAACGCGATTTAATACAATAGAATGTTTATAAAATAATTTAGAGCTTAAATTATTTTATAAGGTTTGATTCTATCATACTATCTTCCAAAGATAACAAGAGGAGGATATACAATGCTGTGGTTAAAAGTGTATTAACATACGGATGTGAAGTTTGGCAGCTGAAGAAATGGACACAGGATATGCTAAGAGCAATGGAGATGGATTTTTGGAGGAGGTCAGCAGGAATTTCTAGGAGAGATCGGGTTTGTAATGAGAGAGTACGACTTATCATGGAAGTCGGAAATGACATTGTGTTCGACGTCATGACCAAACAGCTTGTCTGGTACGGTCATGTTAATAGGATGACGGAAGAGAGGCTGCCGAAGAAGATGCTTGATTGGGCTTCTCATGGGAGGAGACGAAGGAGACGCCCAGTGAGAGGGTGTTAACAGGGGGTGTTAAGTGAGATGAGGGAGTGTCAACTCCTTGATGGATTGTGGGAAGACCGAGTTTTGTGGCGATTAGGCGTTGCAAAGCACCAGAGATCGCTATAAAAGCGACTATGTATGTATGATACTATCATACATATAATTTAAAAGACGAGATGAGTACCTCTGAGCAGCCACTACCTGGACCGTAGAATGTACACTTTCAGTCCCTCTGTAATGTAGCAAGCTGCAGTCATGTACTGTCTTAATTCAAATCATCAAATCTGATAACTTTTGACAGTTCATTTTATGTTTTTAATTTATTTATCATTTCAAGACTACGAGTAATCATTCAAAGCCCTGCTTGCTGATCTACAATAGTGAAATAATTTTTTTTGTCCCACAGTTTGTATGGGTGCTGAGCGAAGGAAACAAAGTGCAAAGAAGAGAAGGAGTTTCAAAGGAGTGTCTTACTGGTAATTTTTGGGTCGACGTAGTAACTCCTGATACAATACAAGTAAAAAATATTACTGCCGGGCCTAATTACAGTGGATGGATCAGCTCAACCTACAATAATTTTTATTTTACCAAAGACTGCTCAGAAAATGTACCCACTTGGTTTCAGGTAAAAAGAAAAAACGTGAACTGTCACAAAATTCTTTTTTATAACTTTTATAATTTAGAACTATTTTGATAAGTTACATTCATCTTTGACGGCATGCAACATCGGTTGTAAGACTGTCATAACTCAATCTTCTAGCTGAGATACATAGGGTGTCCCAAAACAGCCGAGACTAAAATTCTCCGAAGATATCTATTCCACTGTGTTAAATCTGGTTTCTGAGAGTTTTTAGAACAAACCATGAGCTTTCAAATACAGCCTTACAGAGCTCAGTAGGATGCTAATTTTCTGTGATTAAACGTTTTTTGAGAATACGTAGACAGGACTCCTGGGGTTATTTTTAGTGTTCTGCCAAAGTCATGCTGATTTTACTCTTTAATTATTACGAAGTAATTCATCTACAGTGTGTTCCCCCTATAATTAGTCAGGCTGTCACAAGAGAATACCTCAATGATGTACTCGATCATTTTTTTTCACTCATTGTCTGATTTTATTAAATCAATTTTTTGTCCAAGTATTCTTGATACTCAATAATAATTTGTCTTTTTTCCATAGCTCCTTCTCATTGAACCACTGCAATCACTCAGAGATCCCATCTTTCACATGGTGGATAGCACACTTTGGATTGCAGAAAGTGATAGTCAAGTTGTATACCACTGTGACTCAGCCATAGAGGGTAAGTGTCAGTCCCTCTGGATAAGTCTTTGGGTCATTAATGTGAACCCCAGCAGAAAGTAGTTTTTATTTTTTTTCCTCTGGTATAAATGCTGATTTAAATTATTAAAAATTATGCAACATTGCGCTGTCTTTAAAATAATCAAAATAATTTGTTTTTTAAGCGAATTCAATCAAACTATGAAGAGATAACATAAGCTGGAATTCCAATTTTTTTATCTCACCTATCACACTAATCGAATCCAATTTTAGCGTATTGCCTTGGCTATAACAGTTTGATGAAACCTTTTCATATCAAGCAGAAGTTGTATTCAAATGTTCTTTTTTAGAACTTGGCTGAAAACTGGGAAATAGTATGTGTTTTACTTCCTAATAACTTGATTGATTCGTCAAAAATTGCAAATGTCCCACCCTAGTCCCTTGCCTCTAAAATGACACTCCGTACTCTTAGCTTGAAAATATACTAAAATTGCACAGTTTTATCTCTGCTTAAAGAGGAAACTTTTTGAAGAATTAACTGCAAAAAAAAAAAAGTTGAGTACTTTTGGCTTTCCACCCTTCACAGCTCTTTCTTTTAAATTTTCACCCATCAAAAGTGGTTGATGTCGAAAAACAATCAGTCAAAATGAAAGTACGAACAGAGCTTATTCTATAGGGCTTTCTTCATGGAGGTATATATTTCAATAAAATGATCAAAAGTTCACTTTAAAGGTGTGCGAATGTCCCACTCATCACCTTGGAATGACTTATTAATTCCATTTGCAATATTCTTGCTTGAATGGAATTTCTAACATAGTTTTTACTCTTGACAAGAAATGCACCTAGTTTTGTGAGGGAAAGATGGAAATTTGTCTCTGAATGCAACGATAACTTTCACAGACTTTGTTTGTGCCATCTTCGTGATAATGTAATTTTCACTATGGATATCATTCTAGGTGAGGAATGGCATCAGCTTTGTGAAGGAAAGTGGAAGCTGGTATCAGCAGGAGGAATCTTTGTTGACTGTGGCAGCCTATGGCTGTGTTCTGAGAGTGGGCGTCTCTATCAAACTTACCCACATTCTTGTTCAGTGATGCAGGTCAGTGATGAATTTATTCATTTATTCCTTAGTAATTCTGTACAATTTAAAATTTTAGCATTTTGGAAACGTCGCGGCCAATTTACTTCAAATGTGTTCAAATGAAATCTCTTAATCTGTAGATGTGCCTGCACCTTTTGGTTTTTTATTTTTGTGACCAACGTTGCAAAATTTTACTCAACTTTCAGCAATGCATTTTCAACTCTACTACTTGACAGTTGTCTGGTTTTGATTGCTAAATCTGATCACTTGATTTACATTGGATTTATCTCAAATGAAAGTTTTTGATCTGTAAATGCGCTCGCATCCTATAGTATTTAGATTTTTGCGACCCTTGTGATAGATTGTTAGTTGTAAATTTAAGTGCTGTCCGGACCAATTTCCTGATGATAAATAGTATCTACTTTTTTCTTTCTCTATCTCCTGTTATTTTCTCATAATTTTTGGGATTGATTGTTACAGGAAATCAATCCCCCGAATAATTTAGATATCTTATGTTTAGCAGCATCCTCTGAAGTTCTATGGCTGCTGCTGTCTAGTGGGGAAATTTTTATCAGAGAAGGAATTTCAAACGACTGTTTTGCTGGAAAATCTTGGAAACCACTAGACATGGAACAAATTAGTAAGTTGGAAATTTTCTGTCGACGTCACTATTTAAATCGGTATTTCAAGAAACGCATTTTTAATGTTTTAAGCTGTCTTTGGTAGATATGATTTTTATAAAATTCTTGTGTTCCAAAATAAGAATTTACTTTCAAAGTGAGAATGGCTTTTTTTGCGTGAAAATTTCCGTCAATTATATAGGTGCTTCACCCGCTGAAGAATCATCATGTTAGAAATGCATTCGTTTCCATTATTTTATTTTTCTAGTCAAAATTTGACTGACTCTAGAAATATTCTACTGTGGGCCAATTGAAAGCAGTCTATTTGAAGAAACCAATGTTCAAATTATTTCTTGTTAGTTGTTACACTAGTCTCCGATGCTGGGCTATTCCCCTTCAAATGAACAGAGACAGACATGACAAATTCTGCCCTCTTCCGTCCTGGAAAACAGTGAGATAATATATAATGGACCTTGCAAACTGGATTTGGTATTAGAAAATATTAACGTACTTAATGAATGAAATCATGAGATATTTGGCAAAATGTAAGGCAATTAATAACTTGACAAGTAAAAAAGAGACGATAGTAAACTTTTTGGGAAAATTGCACAGAAACTTGGCAGTCGGCAGCCCACTGCTCACAACCGTTCGGCTCATAAGTAACTTACGTGCATAGTGAAAACAAACAGTGGAGCGACAGTTGTTATTTCTCTCTGATGGCATGAACTTTTGAGAAGCAACAATGTAACAAGCAACAACAAGCAACAAGTTAACAGAGAATTTCCCTTGTAATTCTTCATTTAAATTCAAAGGCATATCATTAATGTATCAATTTTTTCAAAAACTGCACTTATGCGCCTCGTCCTCCAAGCCCCTCAATTTAGGTAAGCTCTAACATCAGAGGAGCGACATATTGTGATGCTAATAACTAAATTAATTTCTTATTTTATTACTGTGCCTACCATTTTCAATTAAAATTCCTTTTATCTTATTTTACTCATTTCAGGCAAAAAAGTGATCTTCCAGCACCTGAGTATTGGTCTAGACTCTGTTTGGGCTGTCAGCAAAGCAGGAGAAGTATTTGTTGCTATCGGCTCTCCTTTTTCGATGTCCACTGCTGTCTTTGCTCCTGCTTGGGTTCATGTAGAATCTGAAATTAAGATGGCAAAGGTAAATATGCTCCTCCGTATTTTCTCTAATAAAAACCCCTAATCTACGATTTTTTTTTTTTTTTTTTAATTCACCTACATTTTCTTAATTTGCTTTGTTGCGTTCAGTGGATAAACAAAGGATATAAATACTTGTCATTTTCCCCCTCATTCATCGACAATGAAACCACACCCAAAAACCTATTAAAGTAGTTCGTAAAATTACCAGTGTTGTGTAATTTTTATTTGAAAGAAAATTACTGTCTTTCAATTTCCAAATCTTAATGCAAGTACTCTTTGGTCGGAATTAAAGCAGTCTCTGGAATTCCTTACAGGTATTTAAATCTCTTATTCATTTCCAGAAGAGAAGTTATTGCAATAAAATTTACTCTCGCAAATTCTTGATGTTTAATAGGGTAGAATTTACTGCAAGCTTTTCTTTGCGTGCAATTTTTTTTTTTTTCTTAACCTACTTCAAATACCTTACTAAGTAAGGATAATACTGAGCCTTTTTAGCTAGGCACTAATCCCCTCTCATGCAGTCTCTACTCTATACAACCAGTCCTAGGTACCATGTTTGAGACCATCAAACTTGGGTTGCCTGCACGGTCTGCCGTCAAACCACAAACTGATCACATCTGTTGACCGTGATAGAGCAAGCTCACCTCTAAACACCTTAAAGATCTGATTTGGATCAGATCTATAAGGTGTTTATCTATAAAGCTTTCAATGGTTGAGCCTGTCTGTGGTCGGGTGGCAGATCATAGAGCCACTGGAGATCGATAAAGGTAGAGAATGCAATCAGAAAAGGACAGAATTGCTGTGTGATCAAATCAAAAGAAATTGAAAACTTGTTTCTTTTTTTCAGGTGTTTTTGGGGCCTGAACTACACATGGTTTGGGCTGTTGATGCTCAAAAGAATGTTTATGTCCGAGATGCTATTTTCCCTGATTTTCAAATTGGTTTAAGTTGGGTTTTAGTTCCTGGCATCAAAGCTATTCATTTGTCTGTGAGGTAAGCACATTTGTAGACCACTCCACAGTACGTTTTACAAATTTTTGATGTTGTTAATGATCACTTGTGTTATTTTTTTTTTTTTTTTTTTTTTTTTTTTTTTTCCACTGAAATTGTTAGGAAAGATCTCTAGATTAGGAAAGTGAAAACTCGAAACTGCAAAATCCAAACTGGGGTCATTTTATTCTTTTTTGATTTTTAAGAGTAAAATGGCGTCAAAAACAAATGCATTATCATCTAAACCTCTCATTCTTTGGTTGGATTAAGTTCAAATTTTCATCTGTTGGTCAGTGGTAATCGAGATGTTGAGTTGCAATGGACCACTACACAAGGTACGAATTTAAGCATTCTGATACATGTTTCTTAACCAGAATTTCACGTAGAACACGACTCGCGCGATGAAAATTACTAAAACCAACTCCTAACGAAGGTATTAACATTTTTATTTCACATTGGTTACGAGGAATTTGAACTGCCCGCTCACAAGAAACTCAAAGTTCTGCGTGAGTCAAATCGCGCACTACAACGGTTTCGGCAATCTTCTCTATCGAGCAATGTTCATTTCCCATCATGTGTTGTTCAAACTATAAGCTATTTGCTATAGCTGAGCCAAAGCGTCAAGATTGAGGTTGCCAGATTTTTATATCGCAGAGACCGTCATGATACACGTTTAGCGCGCGATGTGATTCACGTAGAGCATTGAGTTTTCATGAGCGGGTGGTTTGAATTCAAGCATCAAGAATCATTAAATATCTTCAAAAGGAGTTGATTTCAATAATTTCCGTTGTGCGTATCGTGTTTTACGTGAAATTTTGGTTAAGAAACATGTATCAGAATGCTGAAATTCGTACCTTGTCTAGTGGTCCATTATAGGCATAAATCATTGAATAATATACCGTTTTACATGTTGTAAATAATTTTAAGTCATCCCTGATCAATGTATGTGTAGTTACTACATTTCTGTATTTTCATATTGGAAATTTCAATCAGAAAATGTTAATTTCCTGATTTGATTGAAACCTGTCTCCCCTTTCTGCCTATCTACAGGTCCAAATGCCTGAATTGCAACTAATCATTCAAAAGAAAAAAACAAGATTTATCGATGGGAAAAGTGTATATCATCAACTTGTGGCCATTTATTAAAATTTGAAATCAGCCACAAAAATTCTCTGTGAAGAGGGTGTGAATCCTTGACGGTTCTTATCTGAGATGGCCTTACTTTTTACTTACAGTGTGAATCAAGAAGCATTTCTTTGTTCTTTTTTTTTTTTTAGCTAGAGGAAGAGAAATATTCAAACTTTACTTTTTTGTTTACCATCAAACTCTGAGAATTTTAAGAAATCTCTCTCAATTTACACAGCATGTAAGAAGTAAATCTATCTTGGATACTTACCATTCTTTCGCTGTCAATACACGGACACTAATTATATTCTCAATTCAGCTAATTTCAACTCTCTGCTTGTGTGTGCATGTGTTTTTTTTCCTGAAGAAGACTATTATTCTTTGGATTAAATTGATATCTAACGTATGAACTTCCTTTAAATTTGCAGCAGCATTGGTGTGTGGGCAGTATCCTCTAACCGGCAGGTTTTTCGCAGACATGGTATCACTCAGAACAATTATATCGGAGATTATTGGCAGAGACATACTAAGTCACTATCATTAATATCAGGTCAGCAGAGCTTTTTCATCTGCAATTGAAAACTGTTGAAAAAGGGCTAGTCTTAGGGAGTTGGCGTTTCTTGAATCTTTGCTGGTGACACATCTCTCTTGAAAGACTACATAATTTTTATGAGCCTCAATTATCTTAATGAAAATCTAGAAGAAAAAAAGAATACAAAATTTACAAGGTTTTTGTCTGCTCTAGGTTTATCTAGAGTACCTTTATAGGGAGAGTATGGACACGTCAAATATTTGGAGGTCAGATTTGATCAGGTCGTGTAGCTCTTGGGGCCCAAGTAGGGATCTAGAAGCAAAGTGGGTACTCGCATACCCCTTCTTACAGCAGAGAACAATAGAATCTCCTAGCAAGCCAATGAGAGTCTTGGATTGTTGACTAGTCGCAAAGGAGCGCGAAATGGACCAGTTCTGTCATGCAGAGCATGATGGGAGAGTATGAATCTCGCGCAGTTAAAAGAACAGTAAGTTTACCCACCATTTGAGACCTTCATTTCAAGCTCGATTTTTTCATCGAGGAAAATTAATATTCAGTAGAAAGTTTTAAAACACATACTTCCTAATGCTGTTAATACATTTCATCCATAAAAGTTTTTAATTTCTACTCTCACAAAGAGAACTTGCGCATAGAAAAACAGGATTTCCCGATAAGAATACGTGGCGATTTGGATTCCCGCTAAAGTGCGACTAGTCCACGGCTATAACGCTTGTTTACAACGCGCTGTGGGTCATATTGATTAATCTGTCAAATGCTTAGGTTGGCAGCGGCATCTTTCTAGTGATTTTCATTTTACATGTTGTCACCCTTTTAGGCCCTAAGAGCTACGCAATTCAACGTGTCCAGCTTATCTTGAAATGAGCTCATCATGCTAGAATGTGGAGCCTTTGTACGTCGATGGCCAAAGTGCAAGACCACATATCTCCATTTGGAATGTGCAAACTTCCTGTTATAGGTACTTTATTTTTCTGTGAAAAACTATTCAACATAATCGCTTGAAAACTTTCTTAATTTCTGTTCAATGTTACCAGAATATTCTGTATAAATTTCAAGCAATAAAGTTTCACTGTTCCTCCTCAAAAGAATGTGATAGGAGCAGTTATTTTAAATACCGCAAAGGAGATACGTGTTTCCGCACTTTCGGCCATCGATGTAGTTCCACACAATGTCAATTGTAATCGGTTCATTTTTAGTAAAAACATTCAATGCTTATTTTTGTCGACTTTTCGGGCTCATGGTATTATTTGATCAGATTGGTACTTCAGAAGAGCTGAACCTCAAAATTGTGCAATGTCCTTTTTTTTCTTTTCCTGTAACCCTCTTATCTTTCGGGTGAGGTCATTGCCAATTGTTCGGAAATTTCCCAAATGTTTGGAGAAGGAGAGCGTGCATACAGCTGGTAAGCAGACAAATAAAAGAATTTTCCCTCTGAGGAAGGTAGAAGAGTAAAGCAAATTGATTTTGCAGGCGAGTGCTTCAATTCATCGGAAGATTGAATGCACCAACCTCGTAATGTATGCTTGTTAAATTCAGAAAATGCAGGTACTGGAAGAGTTATCTTGTAAGGGAGCCGAAGACCTCCCATGCAAAACTCGACAGCTGAAAATAACCATCATCATTTTTTATTGGACAATCTTGAGTCAATTCATAAGCCTCTATGTTTTTCGGGGATTTTAGGCATTTTTTTTTTTTTTTTTAATTGGCTCATTCATGGATTAATTTTGTAAAAATATTTGTTTTAAAATGAAGAATTTGTCGGATGTAGGAGTTTTAAAGAATTTGATTCATCTATAACCCGGGAAGCATTTTGAGTAAGTGTGTACAGTGAGGAAGTCTACTTTTCAATTGACATTTTCTGATAGATTTCCTTCTCTTTTGTATCTCTCTTTCTTGTCTGGATCAGATCTGTGCAGGGAGAGAGCTTGAGAGTACTTTATCATTGGATTTATTAATGCCAAAAGGGACCACATTTACTCTGCAATTACTATGCTTAAAGTTCCTTTAAGCACTAATACATCCTATTTTCAATCTTCAAGAATATCTGATGCCCCAATGATATATGATAAATATTAGCCGTTCATCATCAATAATTGTAAATAGATAATACCTATGCCGTGACTAAAATCTTCTCTCCTTAATCTTTCAGTGTCTGGTGATGATAGAGCATGGGGACTAGACAGGAAAAACGCCTTGGTCATGCGAAAAACTGCCTGCTTCTCCCTCAATGATGTCAGTGAATCAAAGAACTCGGAAAATCTTGTCGAAGATCTTTGGGAAATCATTGACACAGAAATCTTATCGTAACCTGCTAATGGATTAACCAACTTTATCCAAGCTTGTTTCTTTTAAGTAATGAACTGTTCTTTTTACTTTGCTCGTTTGGAACTTTGTTCACCACTGTTACCTGGTTAAGATATCTATCAATTTTAGTTAAAAATGCAAATAGAAAGATTTTAAAAATGTTCTATTCAGCATCAGTTTTCAGAGCTATACACATGGGAAGTTTAAATTTAAGAATTCATCATGCTCATTGTCAACAAAGTTTTAGAAAGTTGCATCAAAATTATATGGAATCAAACTGGTGCTGAGATAAAATCTCCTTAATGCTTTTTTTCCCTACCCTCCCAATTTTTCTAACTGTTGGCAGCATGCCTATTACTCTCACTTCAATGACAAAGAAACATTTCTTTACCTATTGACAAAGTGCAAGATGTGCACTAATAAAATAGGAACATGGCCAATCAGATGTAACAACACAACCAATAAATTTTAGTCATAAGAATTCATAACACTCAAGTAAGGGAGCTTGCCTATTAGTGTAAAAGTTTAAGTACACCCAAGTGTCTTGTCCCTGAATGTTAGAAGTTTGAGCTAATGTTGCTACATAGTCCGTAGTTGCTGTTTGATCAACTTCAAGCGGTCTCAAAAGTTTACAAAGCTTGTACAGTGAAGCTCTCTAAGGCTTCGTCTCCACGGTACGTTTTCCTACTATTTGTTGCTGAAAAAAGTTACACCAACAAGATACGGACGAATATTGACTTACTCATATTAATAGTTGATCCAAGAACAACTGAGAAAAGAAAAAGAAGCAAAAGCGAAGTGTGCATAACTTTATATTTGTTTAGTTCCTTACATTTGATTCTTCATATTTGTTTAGTTCTTAAATCAAATCAAATTAAAAAATGCAATTGCAACTTCAACGTCCATGGAGCATTGGACGAAGTAACTTGAACTCCAATTTTCCGCACAAAGTTGTTACAAGAATGCAAAAGCTCCGCCCTTTGGAGGTTGTAACTCCAAAAAATAGCCAAAATTCCTCTCATCCAGTTGACGCTGCCACAAATTCCTTGAAATTAACTGCCCTTGGAGACAAGATCTGAGGCATTATTTCATGACTTTTCGCTTATTGTTTCAGGGAACTTAATCAACCCCAGCAAATTAGACTTTAGCATTGAGAGGCTACTTTTTATAAGGTTAGAAGAGTACAAGGAAGATTTACAGATCAATATTCTACAAACAATTGCGTGCCTTTGCAATTTTGTTTTTTTACCGTTTGGTCAGATCTCACAGGTCCCAAATTTATAGAGGTACTTCTAATGTTTGTCTATTTTTTACTTTTGCCTAATAATTTCTACATTAATAGGATTGAAAATAAGTTCTCTCTTGCAAAACAAATCAGTTGAACATTTATTCACAAACATAGAGAAATCAATAGTACTTACTTACACAAATAGGAACAATACAATCAAAATCGTAAGAACAAGAAAATAGTCTCATCAGTAGAATGGCACAAGAACTGTGCATCATATTGTACATTTTCCAAATAAAAGGATTAAAATCTTTCATCACTTTTTCGACTTTTTCCCCTCTTTTATTGTAGTGAAGTAGAACTGAATTGAAGCAACTGAGAAGACAATATATCAATCAATCATATTATTACACCGCTCAACATGGGTTCTGTCCTGAGAACCAAACCAATTTTTTTCGATTCCTATGTGATATAGAAGTCGGAAAATGCCCATAATAACTTCAGAAAAATTGGATGGTGCTCAGGGCATCGCCATTTTGAATTTTCCAAAATTGAGAAAACCTACGATCAGTTTTTTGGAAATATCTCCTCAACGGTTAAGTTTACAAAAAAAAAAAAAAAGAAAAAACCAGCAAAAAGAGCATAAAATTTCCTACGGAGATCACCCTCCTCTGTTTTTTTAGCTTAATTTTTTGGTCGTTAAAGTAACGTTTTCATAAAAAATTAGCTAAAAAAAGGTGTATTTTTGCTGATTTTAGGAGAAACTTTGCTTCATATCTCCAACCACGATTATCTAAGAAAAAAACTGTTATGCTCATTGAAAAGAGTGTAAAATTTACTTCTAGAAAACATATGTCATTAGTTCCTAAACTTGATTTAATCCTGTGAAACAGCAGTTTATTAGCTCCGCCCTTAAATTGTGATTTTGTCGACCATCTCCTTTAAAATCAAGAAAAAAACCTATAAACGTGGCCCCAACTGTGTCTTAAGGTGGTTAAATAGTGCTGGGCCCACACTATTTTTTTTTTGGGGGGGGGGGCAGCAAAGCGAAAAAGTTCAAAAATTTTCAATCAGATCCAAAAATTTTGAGTTCTAATGAGGATCAGTACAAAACTGATGGGGGAGAGTGTTCAGCTCAGGCAGTTTGCATTGGACTATTAAGTTGAGGCCACGTCGAGAGATCTATAGTTTTGGGTCTTTTCATACTTCGTCAGTGAACCCAACTGAAAATCTTGCAAAATCCAAGACGGCGTTAAAGCACAAGCTGGAAGTACAAGTTTTGTACTGCAACACGGTAAGTTTTGTACTGCAACATGGTAAGCTTTGTACTGGTCCTCATTAGAGCTCAAAATTTTTGGATCTGATTAAAAATTTTTGAACTTTTTCGCTTTGCTGCCCCCCCCCCCCCCC